GTCCTCTGCCCTCTCAGGTTTACGCTAAGGGGCCTGCGGACTAAACTGACAAGAAGCAGTTTTCATGCGCAGGGAAACTCGCATGCCTATGGGAGTCTGCAAACAAATGTGGCTCAAGGCGGGGAGCCTGGGGCTACACGCCCTGTTAGCATAGCAAAGGGATGGAGCAAGGGCACTTACGGAAAAGCCGATTACTTTTAGGAAAGAGGATTGGTCTTTAGGAGACTAGATGGGATAGACGACAGTTTTCTGACAATACCAGTTTAGGAGTGGTTCGAGCTCGCCCAGTCTCCAACAGTAAGAATCCATCTCCTGGTGGCTCCTGGAAAGGGAACATGTGAAAGCGAAGTTCTTGTGAATTCTTTTGGGTCTGCAACTTTAGGCTGATAAAGGAGTTCGGGGGGAAGAACTTTATTCCCAAATGCCTTCAGCTCAAAATAACTTTTATGTCACAGTGCTGTAGTCTGGACAACTTCAATGGTAAAGTTTATGTTAGATCTGTTTCACTACCATTTAAAAATAGATGAAGTGTTTTATTTAAGGATCTATATATTTTTAAAAGGATATAAGAGCCAGTTTGGAGAGGTTCCCATTGACCAAATCTTGAACAATTTGGGCACATACTAATAGTAACAGATTATAAGCCATAGAACACAATAAAAATCCAATAGTCCATTCTGATATAAATGAATGAATTAATTAATGAATGAGAAGGGAATTATCTCCCTTACAACAGAATGCCACCTAATAAAAGAAGGAATGTTGGAATTAGAAAAATTGCAATTTGGCAATCATTATAGTCACAATTTTTACAGCCCAAATCATCAATGAATACTAAAATTAATGAGGAGATAAATACATTTGATGGAAAACAGGATGTTTTTGCAACTTTTCTCTAAGCCTAAAATTACTTCAAAACACAACGCTATTTTTAAACACAGGTTTCTCTGATTCAGTTTCAGCCAGGGCTGCTAACTACACCCACATTCTAAAACAAGGCACTAGACCATCTAAAGTGGTTCTTTCAGCCAACGTGGTGAAGAACTAGTTTAGATGCCTTAGGAGAACACACACCTGCCTACAGCAGAGACGTGAGAGATGCTGGCGAGAACAGCGGGAAGCCAGAGGAGGCCTTCTCTAGAAGCAGTGTTGGGGCGCTATGGCACTTCGCTTCCCCTGCCCAATGTGGGGAGGTGCCTTCCCCCTCTGCGGGCTGAGGGACAGGGGTTTCAAGGAGGCCGTTTGTGGAGCTTGACCTATGTGTCCTGCATTCTGGGGAGGCTCATAAGCCGGGTGGGACCCAGGCCTGGGGAGGCCGGCCTGGCCGGCGGCTCAGCAGTGGAATGAGGAGACACGGCTGTGCAGGGCGCACCCATCAGCCAGCCAGGAGCACGGGTGGCTTCCAAGGGACCAGCTGAGGACCTGGGCGAAGAGAGATGGCTTGAAGCGGTACAGAAGGGGCTTTCTGCTGCTGGCTATGGGGTGGGGCTGGAGCGAGGAGTGGAGCGTCTCAGGCCCCTAACAGGGAGGAAAGCACGGTGTCCGCTGCTCCCAGCAATGGGGGCTCCAAAGAACTCTCAAAACAATCCTCCAGGAAAAACAAAACAAAACAAAACAAAACGAGCCAGTGTGAATCGCTGCTCTGGCCAGAGTGAAGCCACTCCAGAGGACAGGGCAGGGCATCCAGATACGGAAAAGCTTTCCGTTCTTTTCCCTCCCCCATCCCACGCTGGCCACGGCGCGGCAGAGGCGGTGGGGCATGGAGGAGCAGGAGAAGAATCTGGGGGCCGGGAAAGCCCACTGAACTCCCCAGTGTAAAATGGGGGTTACAGTCCCATCTCCCTGTTGGGTTAGGATTAAAAGAGAAGCGACTCAAGTGCTTGGTGCAGACCCTCTGGCAGCAGGGCGGGGCTTCAAGGGCCCAGGGGGCTGGGTAGCAGAGTCCTGGTTCAGTGTGATTCCTGGTTCAAGCTGTGGAATGGGGGCCTCGGGAGCCAGAGGGACCAGAGGGACCAGAGGGACGTTTGCATGGAGGAGTGAGGTCCCTGGAGGAGGATGGTTAGAGCTATTATTATTATTTCCAATTTAGAAATTGGCAGCTGAGGTTCAGAGAGGTTAAGTAACATTCCCAAGCCACCCAGCTAGCAAGCCACAAAGCCTGGGCTGGCATCCTTGTCTGGGAGCCTTTGTCTCTCAACACCTCTGTCTTGGCTCACTTTCAAGTTGAATTCAGACCCATATTAAAAAGCCCCTGCTCCAAGTGTGGCTCAGTGTGTTCGACTCCCGGTCAGGTGGGTTGCGGGCCAGCTTCCTGGTAGGGAGCATTCGAGAGGCAACTAGTAAATGTTTCTCTCCCCCTCTTTCTCTCTCCCTTCCTTTCTCTAAAAATAAAGAAATAGCCCTGGCTGGTGTGGCTCAGTGGATTGAGACTGGCCTGTGAACTGAAAGGCCCCCAATTGAGGGCATGCAAAGAGGTAACCAGTTGATGTTTCTCTCTCACATCTGTTTCTCTCCCACTCTTCTTGCCTCCCTTCCCTCTCTCTAAAATAAATACAATCTTTAAAAAAGAAAGAAAATCTTAAATTAAAAAAAAAATAATAAAGCACCTGAAGCTGCTCTTTCCAGGAGGGGACAGCAGGGGGCAGTGTAACCAGCAGGCATTTATAGTTTGGCCCTCCTCCAGGGTAACCATCCCCGCAGAAAGGATGCAAGGAATGTTTGGCTTTGTCCTCTAAATGAGGAAGAGAGCAAACAACCATGAAGAGTGCCAGTCTGTGGTTACAAGCAGCCTGACTGGGATTCTAAGTTTTGTCAAATCCTCTTGTACCCACCTTCTCAAACAGAAGCCCCCTCTAGACCAGGGACCACCCCTGACATTTTCTTCATCTCTTTCAATAACTGGCACATAGTTGTCATTCAACAAACAATCATGGCACTGAATGATGGCCTGGGGGGCGGGGATTAGGGGGTTCAGGAGTCTTTTTACAGCAGTGGATACACCCTGTCTCCCACAGCCTCTGCCACCCAAACACGGCTTCCTCCTCACAAAACCCAGCCACAGGCAAGGATGTGGTGGCATCTGTCAGCTGCATTTAAGGGCCTTGGGTCCTGCCACCTGGCTCTTAGCTGTGTCCCTCATCAGTGGGGTTGTTGCTTCAGGTGGAAACATTGCTGAGGGGGCTGGTGTCCAGGGATTGGTGGGGTTCTCTGAGGAAGGAGGGGGTAAGACTGGCTTAAAGTGTTACCATTGGTATTTAGCTAGAAAAGGGGAACAAAGGGATTTTGACATTGAGTTTAGTAAACTGGAAGCAAAGCCTGCTTGCTAGCCAGGAGGCTACAGCTTCACACCCCAGGGGATCACAGCATGGCTCGGACAGGGGATTCACACTCCTCTTTCCCTCTGGTACTGGATTTTTGGGGGTGCAGGGGGAGGGTCTGGACCATAGAGGCCTGTCATCTAACTAGGGGGTGTAAATTCATCCAAAGATTGCAAAAGCTTGGGAAGTTGATTCGTTCTTTTGAAAAGGCACCTGGTCCCTCCCAAGCCCAAACTAATATAATCCCAGGGGAACGAAGAATAGCGTTGAGCTCTCGCATGCGCGCTCTCGCATGCGCTCTCTCTCTCTCTCTCCCTCTCCCCCTCCCTCCTCTCCATCTCCCCGCCTTTCCTCTCTCTCCCTCCGGACTGCACGTGCCCCCTGCACTCAGTCCTCTCTCTCCATAGCCTTGTGGCCTTAGCAGCCATGTGGCGCAGAACAGCGTGGACTCCACACACAGACTCCACAAGGCAGCCTGAATCCCACAGCACAGCACTGCACTGCAGCTGGAAACACGCTAAGCCAGCGGGATACGGGGCTGGAATGGACTTTAACATGGAGCAGGAACCCTGGGCATCGGCCTTCATCCTGGCCCTACTGAAGACAAGATTAGAATTCTTCCACTGACGGAGACGGGACCTAGGGAAGTCAGGAGGAAAACCCCCTTAATTGTACATCATCGATAGACCATACCACAGAATGCCCTCCTTCCAGGTGACAAGGGGGGCTGCCCCTCTTCGCCCATCCTGCAGTGCCCACGATGTCAGCCCCACCTCCTAGTAATCTGGCTCAGATGGGGACCCACACAACCAGTCCCTCCACCCATCCCAAAGTACAGGTGGCAAAGTTGAGGCCTCTGGCCATACCTCATCCCATAGAAGTCGGGATGAAAACGCAGTTCTCCAGACTTCGATCCAGTGCTCTACCCACTTTTCCTTTCCCAAGGGAAATCTTTCCCAAGGAGCGCTGACAAGCCGCAGCCAGGAAGCGGGAGACAGGCCTTGGTGGGGGAAATGCACTTGGGAGTCCCGTGGGCTGGTGCCAGCCTGCCATTCACCAGCCGGCAGTCAGAGAAGTCACCTCACTTGAGTCCTCATCTGTTCAATGGGTACAGGGCTGCTGAGAGCATCGGTGGATCTAACGGATACACGAAGCATCTGGAATGCAGTGGGTGCTTGGTCAACTTTAAGCCCAACTATGTTGCCTGCAAAGAACTGATATGGGTAAAGAACCAGCTCCCATTCCTCCAATCCTTCCCCACACAAAGGGCGGAATGAAAGAATATTAGAAAACAGATACAGGCAAGTGCTATGGAATTCTGGGGAAGAAACGTTTCTTCCCATATTTATCAGCTGTTGGATGAGCGAGCCTGGGCAAGGGGAAATCAGTAATATGGAGAGCAAATGGGAGGATCGCTGATTTGGAGTCTCACTCGCTATTTTCCCAGCGACCTCGAACTCGACCTTCCCCAAATACGCAGTTGTTTAGCCCCCGGGCTTCTTCAAGAGACCCTGGTTTGAGGGCTTCCCAAGAAGGGCAAAGTAGGGCGGGGCGGGGGAGGAAGGTTGCTGGCATCCGGGGACCCTCACCCCGGCCTCCCCTGCTCCGGGCGGCGCGGACTACAGTTCCCGGCATGCCTCGCACGCAGTACCTGCCCGCCTCCAGCTCCCGGGAGCCGGGAGGATGCAGGATCCGGGGCCAGACATGAGGATGGAGGCCGGGGAGGCAGCGCCGCCGGCGGGCGCGGGCGGCCGCGCTGCGGGCGGCTGGGGCAAGTGGGTGCGGCTCAACGTCGGGGGCACGGTGTTCCTGACCACCCGGCAGACCCTGTGCCGGGAGCAGAAGTCCTTCCTCAGCCGCCTGTGCCAGGGGGAAGAGCTGCAGTCGGACCGGGTGAGGCCCTCGGGGTGGGTGGTGCGGGGCCGGGGGTCTCCGGCTCGCTGGAATCGGGGCTGTCGGGCCTGGCACGCCCGCTGGGCTGGGGACGCCGGCAGGTTTTATTTACAAAGAGCCGGAGGCGGGAACAACTGACTGGAGGAGGGGAGAAGGAAGTGGATCCGAGAGTGAGGAATGTGCCTATTGCCTTGGCAACGAGACAACGCCAGGCAACGGCCATTTGGAGCTTAGGAGAGCTGCCCTGGGCTCCCCCGCAGGAGGCTGGTGGATCGGATCCGACTCTCGGCCCTCCTCTGGGACTGTGGGTTCAGACACACACGTAGGGCCTTCAATCCCTCCCAAGTAGGACCTTTCCAAATGGGAGTGGCCGAGGCCGCTTCTCCCTGCCTTGGGGTGTGGGTGGCCTAGGTGTGCAGGGAGTTGGGTGGAGAAGGCCCAGGGTGCCCTCTGAGCTGGGCTTTACTTGGGAGCCGAGCTGGCCTGGCGGGCCCCAGGTCTGGGTGCCATGGGGCCCTGCTGCACATTGCTTGCAGGACCTGCGTTCTGGCATTTCCTGCTCCAGCCTCTACCTCCTGTCTGCAACCAGAGGCGGCTGGGCTGGAGATGACCGCTAAGGCCCCCTCCTCCCCCATTCCCTGCCTGTCTGATGCTGTGACCTTGGGCAAGTCCCCTGACCTCCTGATGCTCTTTCCGCTCTGGAGAGTCGTGCTGCTGCCTGCCCTGCCTCCCCTCAGGCTAAGGGTGTCTGATGAGATAGCGGCTCCTGGGGAAGCCTGCAAACACCCCAGAATGATGGGGGATCTGGTGGAGACAGTGTAGGACTGGCTGCAGGGGACAGTCACTGAGCCCTACTTTGGGTCAGGTGCCCCTGGGCCCCCACTGGATGCTTACAGTGACCCCTAGTTATGGGGAGAGGAGTGAGGCTCAGTGAGGCCAAATCCCTGGCCTAAGGTCACACAGTCAGGAAGAGGCAGGAGCAGGATTTGAACCTTTTTGCTCCATCGTGCTACTTCATTCCAGGGAATGACAGACTCTATGCTCTCGTTCCTTTCCTCCCTCCAACGCTTTGCTGGGCCCGAAGCGAGGGGCGGGCAGGGCGAGGCCTGACTCTTCTCTCACAGCCTCTGCCCCTCGCCTCCCTCCGTAGGACGAGACCGGGGCATACCTCATTGACCGCGACCCCACCTACTTCGGGCCCATCCTGAACTTCCTCCGGCATGGCAAGCTGGTGCTGGACAAGGACATGGCTGAGGAGGGTGAGTCGGTTAAGGGAGCTGGCTGGGTCCACATTGTATCCCTGTCCTCTGCAGCCTGCCAGGCCTTCTGTGGAGGCCCAAAGCCATTTCTTCCAGCCAGAAGGGACACCGGCTCTCCTCTATGTTCCCTGCCTCTTCCCCTCCCTGACAGAGCTGAATCCCAAACCTTCTGCCTGGGCTGAGCCCAGAGGCTCTGCCAAGCCGACCAGCCTGAGCTTTCACTGGGCGCTGTCGGGGAGGTGACAGAAATACACAGGCAGAGCTTAGAGGGAGCCAGCGGGGCTGGCAGCCTGCATTGTGGGCAGGGATGCCCTTTCTCCTGGTCTCCTGGGAAGCCAGGTATGAAGGGGGTGGAGCCGGGCGGGGTGATCAGTATTTCAGATGCCTTGTGAGGGGCTTGAGTCAGCAGGTGGGTGGACCGGGTAACTCTTCCCAAATTCAGCAACCTCGGCAGCACAGTGCTGGCTGTGGGTGGAGGCAGGGAAGGAGGAAGCCTGCTCTCTAGCAAGGGTTTGGACCCTCCCATGCCTGGGGGGCTGAGACCCTGTCGATGCCCACTCCTGGGCCCAGCGGTTGGTAGGGAAGCCGTGCCTGGGGGATGGCTTCTTGACAGAGAGCCCCAGCCAGGGGCAGGGACCACAGCCTGTGCCAAGTCAACTCTTCCTTGGGCCGCAGGATGTGGCTGCGGGTCAGCTGACCCAGCCAGGCCAGCTTGGACATGTCGCTTCTCCTTTTTAAGCCTCCATGCGTGTATTAAGTGTAGGTGGTGATCTACCCTGGGAAGAGCACACTTTGCAGCGACTAATGGTATGAATCCCGGCACGTGGACCCTGTGGGTGTCTAACACAGCCCATCCCTCCTCCCTAGTGGGTCCCCAGGGGGCCAGGACTTCAAAATTGGAACCCGCCATAGGCACCGGCTCAGCAGGGCCCGCAGCTTCCCGGGCGCTGCCCTCTGGAAGCACAGGTACCGTGGGCATGGCCCGGGCCCAGGAGCAGGCCCCTCCGGGAGGGGCGTGAACGCTCAACTGCGTCACAGCCAACACTTGTTTACAGGTTCGGGCTTTCTCCACTTTTGCCACTCCCTGCACCTTCAGACAAAGGCTAGGGCCCCAAGCAGCGGCCCAGGGGATCTGGGAGGAGACTTACCAGCAGTGTGACAACAGGGAAGTCATTTATCCCTTTGTGCCACATCTGGGAAGTGGGGTGACACAGCGGAGCTGCTGTGAGGATAACACCAGCGGGTCACTTCAAGCAGCGCCGGGCACCGAGGACCAGGGTGGCAGTGTTAGTTGTCTGTCGTCTGCAGGGCTCCACGAGGGCTGCTCCTGCAGCACCCCTCACTGACCTCCTACATGTCAGGCTCAGTGTGGGCACCGGGGGCAGCCGCGTAGAGCAGACATGGGCCCTAGGCCCTGGGCCCAGGAAGCTCAGACGCCAGTCATGGGAACAGTCAGACGGGTCCCTGCCCTGAAGGAACTTTGAGGCGTCCAAAGGCCAGGGGCCGTTCCACTTCCCTGGAGAGGCCACTCGCTTAGTCTTATAGGCACAGTTCCCTTAACGGTATGGGGACAATAAAGCCCGCTCCCCCCGTGTCCCCAGGGCTCGCGAAGAGCACAGGCGGGGCTTTGCAAACTGCTGAGTGTGGGAGTCGGCGATATGCACGCGCGCAAAGACCATGCATTTGCAGTGGGCTCTGAGGTCAAGGGAACTTGAGCTTGGATCTCAGCTCTGCCGCTTCGTGTCTGTGGGGTGTCAGACAAGATGTTTCTCTTTCTGGCCCTCAGTGTCCCCATTTCTTCTGTGGGACAATGAAAGCACCTACTTCTAGTTCTGAAAATTAACTGCAAGAAAGAATGGAAAATGCCTAACACAGCGCCTGGTACTTGGCATATTATTCACAAAGGGGAGCATGTACTAGGGGTCCGCCCAGGCCCTTCTCACTGTGGCATTGTAGGGTCCAGTCCCAATGAGCCTGCTGCTTCTTGAGGGCCCCAGAGTAGCCCCCAGATTAGGGGACCGGTAGGCACCCCTTAGTCACCATGCTTGCACAGCAGAGATGCTGGACCGCTGCCTGGCGGTTTTTGGTCCCTTCCACAAAGACCATGGGATCCAAGGAATCAAATGTTCCCTTTTGCTTGACCCCTGAACTCAGAGATGCTTGTCACCCTCATGTACTGGAGTTGGAGGTAGGTTTGGTGAGGACAAGGGAAGACTAGGGCAGAGAGGCAGTGGGAGTGACCCAGGGTGGCTTTGTCTGTGCCAGGGGTCCTGGAGGAAGCCGAGTTCTACAACATTGGCCCGCTGATTCGCATCATCAAAGACCGGATGGAGGAGAAGGACTACACTGTCACGCAGGTCCGGGGGCAGCAGGGCAGCGTCCATAGCCAGAGCGGTTGGTGACCGAGAGGGGGTAGCAGTCAGAAGAGGGGAGGCGACACAGCTGTCCTTGGGGAGTCCCAGCCAGCCTGCAAGGGGCGGGGCAGTTGTCCAGCTCCCAGACCGTCCAGCAGAGCCCCGGAGTGGGAGACAGACACTGGTTCTTTCTGCCTGGGGTCTGTTCGCTCTGCGACCCTCGCTGGACCTTGGTTTCCTCCGGTGGAATGCAGCGGTCCTCAGCACTGCCCACCCTTCCCCTTCTCACAGGCCAAGTGGGGTCAGTAGGAGGCGTACAGGGGGCTCTTTGGGGCACAATGTAGGATTAGCAAATTGTCTATTTTGTGGGATCAGGTGGTTCCCTTCGGGGGCCCAGCAGAGGAGCTGCTGGCGCTGGCGTTTCTGAGCCTGGCCCCCGGCCCTCAGTGACCAGTCCGTAGGAGGAATGGGGAAGGTCCCCAGCCCATCCAGGGAGATCGGGGGTGGGGAACACGTAGCAAGGCACCTTCTGGCCCCGGGTTCCCGGGTTGGAGCAGGGAGGCTCTGTCTCCCGGAGGGCCTGCCTCAGTGAGTGACCCAGCCTGTCTCCCAAGCCCTTCCCTTCCCTCTTGTATCACCTGTGTTTCAGTTCTGCCACCCTTTAGCTGGGTGACCTTGGGCAAGTAGTTGACCCCGTCAGCCTCCACCTAAATCCCGTAACTCATGGAGTGTTTGGGGGGATTGAGATCACGAACGTCGAGTGCCCGGCAGGCAATAGGCCCTCAGAACATGCCCCCATCTTCCCGCCCTGCAGTCCCCTCCTCTCCGTCTAGGGGCATGTGGTTGGGAGGCGAGAAGACACTGGGGGAAGGCAGGCGCTCGTCCCCCTCCCGGGGGGCCCTCCACATCGCCCTTCTGCCTGCAGGTCCCGCCCAAGCACGTGTACCGCGTGCTGCAGTGCCAGGAGGAGGAGCTCACGCAGATGGTCTCCACCATGTCTGATGGCTGGCGCTTTGAGCAGGTGGGCTGGGCTCAGGGGGACCATGCCCAGGGCTTCCCAGTCTCCAGGCGAAGCAGGCCCCTCCCTTCCTGCAGCCCCAGCCTTGGGTTTCCCACTGCTGCCCCCGCCCGGGGGGTCTTCTTACATTCAAGTAAACCGGGATAGTTAGGAAAGGCCACACCCAGGAGCAGATTGACCGAGAGGAGAGCCTAGAAGCCCCACACGTTGCATGGCAACTCCAGGCGTTATCCTCGGTGGGAACGCTCACAGTGACTGGGTAATTGTCTCCATGGCAGTGTGAGCGAGGCTCTGGCCTCCGAGTCCACCTTGCAGGGAGCTGAGATCCACATAGGTGAGCGGAGTCCCCCTGGGTTAGCACCTCCTGGAACAATTCCGTAGGCACAGCCCCCAGGGTCCCTGCAAGGGACATGCCCAGTTACAGGCATTGCCACGTTCAAGGAAGCCCAAAGCCGTGACTTCTCCTGAGGATTTCATAGTGACCTCTACTTCCTCCCAGTCCAGATGCACTTTTCCCATTTTTATCAGAAGCGGTGTTGCACTAGTAATATAGCAGACGTCTCACCTGTCTCTGGTTTCCAGAAGGATGGATTAGAAGGGCCACTGATAAAGTCCCTAGCTTGGGGCAGCACTCTAGAATATTCCCAGAGTGAACAGAATGTTCTGTGGGGCTCCACCATGCCAACCTGGTTCTGGGGCTGCTTCCGCCACCTCTGGCACAGCAGGTGGCAGCCTGCCAGTTACAGGCCTCCCCCTACTTTTAGGAAGTGGCCTGCTGGACCCAGCCAGGCCCTGGGCATTGGGGAGGAGCAGCGATGAGACTGCTGCCGTCCCCCAGCGACCAGGCCCCGCCAGCCAGGTGGGGAGGCTGGTCTGGAAGCACGTGAGGGGTGTAGATCGGGGAGCAGGGAGAACTCTCGGCTTCTAGCCCAGGGGTGTTTTCTGGAAACCCAGAGATGTGCCTGAGCAGGACAGCCAGGTCAGGACACAAGCTGGTATCTTGACAAGTGCCGATGTCCACCTCCTGCCTCCTCACTGCCCCTGGCTGGACCTACCACCTTTCTCCCCGTGCGCCATCCCTCTAGCTGGTGAACATCGGCTCCTCCTACAACTACGGCAGCGAGGACCAGGCGGAATTCCTGTGTGTGGTGTCCAAGGAGCTCCACAGCTCCCCGCACGGGCTGAGCTCCGAGTCCAGCCGCAAAACCAAGGTGAGACCCCAGCCTCGACCCCCCGCTTCCCTCCCCCACCTCCCCTCCACGTGGCCATCCCTGCTGCTTCTTTCTCCCTCCTGCTGCACACGCATAACCCCCGGTCACAGCCAATGCCATCCATCCCATGCCACCCACAGTCCTGTCTGCTCACGCTGGTCACCCAGGCCCAGGCTGGGAGAGCAGTGAGATGGGACGACCCCGAGGGCACGGCAAGTGTGACTTAGATGCCACTCGAATGGTGGCCACGGGGCAACGTAGCATGAGGGGGAGTGCACCAGACTAGGGGTCTCTGGGCATGCGGTGCCTCGCTCTGTGTGACCCTGGAGGAGCCCCGTCCCCTCCACACCTCATCGTATGCTCTGAGAACCAAGGGAGATAGACCACGTCCTGCCTGTGCGCCCTCAAGCGTGGGCCTCCTGGGACCCTGATGGCTGGTTTATTCCCAGGGGCGGGTCCATGTCCCCGCTGGCCTTGGCCCCGAGCGGGGAAGCCCAATCTGTCAGTGCTGCCCCTTTCCCAGGCCCCCCACCCCCTCGGGCGCTCTGTGGGAGGGGAGTCAGGAGCCCTGTGGGTCCGGGCCTTTGAGGCAGCCTCCGCTGGCGGTGAGGGGCAGAGGTCCTGCCGCCCTGGACCCCCAGCTGGTCGGAAGCCTCGAGGGCCTGCCACAGGCTGGGAGGGAAGGCAACGGTTCCTTCTGGGGCCTGTCCCCTGTGGAGACTTAAGAGCTCTGGCTTCTTGTCTGTCTGCCTGCCTTCCCTGTCCTGTGTCTCCCCTTGCCCACCCCGGCCCCACCCCAGTCAGGGCCAGCGGCAGGCCCTGCAGCCTTGCAGGGCTGCAGAGAGCCTTCTGCTTCTGCCTTTGGCCCAAAGCCTTGGGACCTGGGCTGCCAGCAACTGTTGCTGGCAGCCCAGGTCTGGGTGGCTGTCTGCCCTGGGCCCTCCCTGGCCTCATTTCACCTCTGGGGCAGCCCTACCAAAATGAGGCCTTCCCAGGTGCCCAGCTACACACTCCCACTCGAGCCACATGCCCATCCCAGTCCCCTTCCTCCTCGACCCAGCCTGCTCCACAGGCTGACCTGTGACAGCTTCCCAGGGGACTGGACAAGAAGCTCCAGCTTCTTTGGCTGTAGCCACCCCCTCCTGGAGGCCCCCCTTCACCTAGCCCGCCCGCCCGCCCTGAGCTGGGGCCCATGGGGACAGCGCCCACAGGCCCCCTCGTTAGTTCTCCGCTCTTTCTTCCCTGGGTCCGCCGGCTGGTGCACAGAGCACGGAGGAGCAGCTGGAGGAGGAGCGGCAGCAGGAGGAGGAGGAGGAGGTGGAGGTGGAACAGGTGCAGGTGGAGGCAGATACACAGGAGAAAGGTGCAGCCAACCCCCGAGGAGAATGATTGCTAATCCAAGCCGGAGCCTCCCGCCCGCTCCCTGCCGGAGTCAGCCGCAGAACCTGGGGGGCCGGGGGCTGCTGGGGGGCGGGCCACCAGGGTTAGCTCAGCCGCCTGCCTGGCGCCTCACCTGCATAACCATCCCTTCTCTCACTTTCTCTTTGCAGCCCAGTCATCTCAGGATCCCGCTAACCTTTTCTCCCTCCCACCACCGCCTCCTCCTCCTCCGCTTCCCGCTGGAGGTCCTGCCTCATCTTCATCCACCTCTTCTTCCTCCTGGATCTCATCTGCACCCTGCCTCTTCCCTCTCTGCCCCTGTCCGGGTTTTCTCTCTGCCTGCTCACGCCTCCATCCCGGGGCCACCCTGGTCCCAGGCGCCCCGGCCTTGCATCTCAGGGCACCCTGCCTGCCGCCTCCTGCACCCCTCCTGGCAGCTCCTGCCTCCTGGCCTGGGGCGCAGGCATGCAGCTGCACCACCTCTGCGCCTGCCCCGCCCACCGGGCACCTCTGAGGCTGGGCCGCCTGCCCCAGCGCCTCGCCTCCTCGCCTCCTCGCCTCCTCGCCTCCTGCTCACGTTTCCTCCTTGCAGGTTCCCGTCTGCACCCCTCAGACCTGAGGCTGCGCTGGCAGTGAGGGCCTTGCCCGCCCCCAGAGCTGCCGCCCCTGGTTTGTAGCTTGGCGGAGCTGCAGGGAGGGGCGGAGGCCAGGAGGGTGCTCATCTCTTGTTCCTTGGACTCAGGCTGAACTTTTGGCTGATTTTCTCCCCTCACCAAAGTTTCTCGGCCTGTCTTGGCCCTGGGTATGAGGCTCTGAGAGGAGGAGAGAGTTAGGGGTGGGCACAGTGCTGTCTGCCCTTTGGCGCCAGAGGAGTCCGGGACGGAGGGAGGGGAGACAAGCTGGGTGCCCCGGCCTCCGCCTGCACACGGGAGCTCCTGCTGTGCAGTGCGAGGCACCGGGCTCCCTGCCTCCGCGGGGGTGGGAAGGACAGGAGTCAGCCGGAGCCGGCTATGGAGGCTGTGGATCGGGGTGTGGCAGAAAGAAGTCCTGCTTAGGTGCCCAGAAGCCCAGAGGGGGAAGTCACTGTCCCTCTACAATGTTAGTTGCCTCTAAAGTGGGGACAGCAGCTGCCCTCTGTGACCTGTCTCTTGGCCTTGACCCCCTGGCCGAGAGTCTTGGCAGAATCTGGCCTCCCAGGCAGCCACCACCAGCCCAGGATGGGGACTGGGGATCCCAGACAGGCGAGCTTGGTCCCTTTCCTGCTCACCCTCCTTCTGGGCTCTGAATCCACCTTCTCTGGGCCTCAGCCCCCCTCTCTCCTCCCACAAGGGACCTGTGACTCACCTACCTCTTTCTCTCTCCCTCTCTCCCCCCCCCCCTCCCTCCATTTCAACCTCCTCTCTGTCCTGGCCCCTCATCACCCCTCCTCCCCCACCGGCCCCACCCCTCACCCCCTTCCCGGTGTTTGGACCACCCCCCACCTGCCCCCCTGCCCCTTTCCCTCTTATTTTCTAGCTGTTACAGGCCAGAGGCACTCGGATGTGAGGTCCCAGATCACCTCCAGGGACTTGGGGTTCCGATCTGAAGTCCTTTATTTTTGTACCGTGGGGTGGGCCCCCAGCTCCAGGTGGAGGAAGCGTTCTTCCTGCCGCCACCTCTGTCTGCACCTGCGGGGCTGTGACCTACCCCTGCCCCCCTGGTGGGCCCTGGCCTGCCGGTGGCCAAAGTGTGGCCCTATCCAGCTGTGTCTCCCAGGCCCCTATGTCCCGTCCCCTGAAGTCCCCAGCTGCATGGCGGATACAGCCCCTGCTGGCCCAGTCACATCGCCTCCTTGAGGCTTAGTCTCCCTGTCAGATGGGCTCGCTCTTCCCCCGCCTACCTCACAGGGCTGTTGTGAGGTCACACCCAAGGGGAGCAGGGTCCCCGGAAGCCCTCCCCCAGGGAGTACGTCCTCCCCAGCGCGGGCCTTCTTCACCCAGCCTCCAGGGGAAGGGCCAGTTTAGCCCCAGATGATGTTCGGGTATTCATGGGGGGTGAAGGGGGCGGGTTGGCCCGGTCTGCGGGGTGGGGTGACGCAGCCTGGACTGCTCCCACCCCCACTCTCGTCTGTACTGCCGGGAACAGAGGGCCCTGGCCAGGAGCGAACGGACCGAGGCTCAGCAGGGGCCGTGGGGCCACTCAGGAACTGGTGATAAGGGAGTGGGGACACTCCCTCTTCCGTTCAGGGGCCCTCCTGCGTTGATGACTTCCGAGCTGGGCACCTCTCCACTGTGTCCGGCCCCCCCATGTAATAAAAGCTGAAGAAACAGCTGGCCTGGCTGCCTCCCTCTCTCTGGCTCCCTCTTGGGGACGGGTTAAATGGAAAGTTGGGTAGATGACCCAAAGGTAAAGGGGCTTTTTCCCAAGGCCCAGGGACCCTGCCCTGCCGTCACTCTGCTGTGTGTGCAGGCGTGGGGGCTCAAGGCTGAGTCCCCTGCTCAGACACCGAGAGCTGGCACCCATTGGGGGCTGCCCTCTCTGGGCCTCAAGTTTCCTCATCTATAAATCAAAACGTTGGACTGGATGATTTCCCAGGCCCAGTCCCTAGAGTCCTGAGGGTCTCCCTGCCTCCAGGCAGCCCTGGGCCAGCCGGGGTTCCCGCAGGGGCGGCGGGGGGAGCAGGCTCCAGGACACCAGGTCCTCCCAAGCCTGGTGCCCTGTCCCCCCACTTCCCAGCCTCACCCCACTGTCCAGAAGGCCCTCTGCTGCCTTCAGTCTGGGCTGCCTGAGGCCACCTCTGCTGGTCCTAACACCCAAGACACCCCCGCTTCCTGCTGGGACAGCTCTGGGTCACCACCCCTCCCTATGTTTCTACCCTCTGCCCCAAGTCCCAGGAAACAAACAACCAGGCACTGGCCCCACCTTGTCTTAGAGCCCCCCCAGACCCTGACTGCTCCTTCCTGCCCTGCCAGGACCCCGCCCACCCACCCTGGCCGGTGCTGCCTCCTCCCCGGCCCTGCAGAGTCTGCCATGCTCAGCTCAGCCCTGCAAAGCGGCGCCCCCAGGCGGAGGCCCTCCTCCAGCCAGGTCCTGTCCACAGCCTGGGGCCCACGCCACTTCCCCTCAGGGCGCTCTGCTTGTCGAAGCTGGCCTCCCTTTTTATGTCCAGCTTTGCTGCAAAACAGTCACCAGGAGCTTGTTAAAAACAGAGTGCCCACCTGCACCCCTCCTCCAATTCTTACTAAGACTGAGGTAGGCCCAAGGTTGGCATTTTAGCAAAGCACCCAACAGTGTTTGCCCTGTGAGCTTGGAGCGGGCGGTGGGGGGGTGGGGGGGCGGCATCTGAGAAACAGGCGACAGGGCTTTTGCACCCAACCCCTGGCGTGATCACGAGGGCATCTCTGCCCCTCTCTGAGCCTCAGTGTACCCCCAAGGATTCAGGAATCCATCGCTTGTCCTATCCCTCACTCTGACCTCAGGGTCACCAACCACTGCTTTCCTGGGGCTGCTCCTGGGACCTGGGAAGCCGTCCTGGAGGCCACCCCCGCCTCCGCTGACCCCACCTCGGCCTCTGGACAGCAGGCAAACTGGCTGAGCAGGAAGCAGAGTCTGCTCAGTCAAGGGTGTGAGGTTGGCGCTAGGGCCCCATTCAATCTCCAAAAACGGCCTCGGATCAGATGGCTTTATTCCGGGGCACCTGAGCTCACCTCCGGGTGAGTGGGCCACGGAGGCCCAGGGGCAGGTGGGGGTGTGGCGAGAACCCTGGGCCCAGGGCTCCCCATCCCTTTGGCTCACAGGGGCAGCTGGCCCACTTGGCTGTCTCCAGGGCTCTGAGGGCCACTCCTGGGGGGCCCCCTCCACCCCACCCCTCCTTCCACCCCTGCCTCTCAAGTGAGGCCAGGGGCTTCAAAGGCTGGAACGCGCCCTCTGGAGCGGGTGCTGCCCAAGCAGCCTCTGCATTGGGGGCGGGGCGGGGGTGGGGGCTTCAGACATTCCTACTGGGATCTGGAAGCCACATCCTCGCTGCTGAACCTCGCTGATTCCCCCAAAGTCAGCAGGGGAGGATGGGACCGGAAGAGAGAATCGGGAGGCGACAGGCTGGATGTGACCCCACCAGCCAGGCCTGGTGACCATCCCGGCCACTCCAGGGAAGTCTTGACCACCAGCTGAGGGCCCTCCTCCTTCCTCGTGCCCTCTGTGGGTTGGTGTTGGGGGGCAGGCTTGAGGACAGGATGCCGCTGGCTGCTCCCACAGGGCCCTGCCGCCCCCGGAATACTTGTTTCCCAGCTCAGGGGGCGCCATGGGCTCTCTGAGTCCGGGAGGCAGGCCCCAGCTCTGCAGGGGGCAGCTCCTCATGTCAGCACCTGCTGGATCCAGCCAATCACACCTGTGATGCGGGTGTAGACGCCAAAGTAGTTGGGCCGGCCGCAGCCCAGGCCCCAGCTGACCAGCCCGGCCAGGAACCAGCGGCCACTGGGCTCCCTGCACACCAGCGGGCCACCCGAGTCGCCCTGAAAGGGGGAGAGGAGGGGCAGGGCTGCATCAGGGTAAGGGCGCCCCTACTTCCGGGGGAGGGTCCTGAGTGCTGGGGGCGTCTGAGAGACAGCAGGTACGGAGGCACAGTGCCTCTCGCAGCCTCGGCTTCCCTCATCCCTTGGCCTGGCCTCCAGCATGTCCTGACTGTCCTGGGACTGGGGGGGGGGGTGTCCACACGCCCCGCCCCCTCTGCCTCCCCCTGTGGGCTCCTACTCCTCCTCTCCTGCGGCACCTCGGGCAAACAGCCTCACGGTGGGCGAGGAACAGAATTGGTTCTGAGCCTCAGACCTCCCTGCCCACCACCGGTCTCTCCTGTGGCCTGCAACCTGGGGCAAGTCCCCCAACGTCCTGTAAAGCAGGGACAGCCATGCCCTGCCTGCTGGGAGCCCACGAAGCTTCAGCGAGCTGATGTGGGCAAGATGGCCAGGCCCGGGTTGAGGTGAGCGTCACCCTCTCCCCGCTCTGGCCCAGCCCCGGGGGGAGTCACCTGGCAGGCGTCCTTCTTGCCCTTGTGGTAGCCGGCACACAGCATGCGGGGTGTCACCTGGTAGTGATAGGCCTCGCTGCACAGGTCCTGCGGGATCAGCTGCACATCCACCTTCTGGAGACCGTTGCTGGTAGGACCTGTCCGGTGGGGTCGGGGCCAGAGGGCAGAGGTGAGAAGATCCAGGAGTCCCTGCCCCCTCCCCCACTGTTTCCTTTGCATCCCAGGAGCCCCCACTGGCCCCGCCCACTCCTCCCCCCTGGCCACTCTGCTCTGGCTCCTGCTCTGAGTGGCACATGGGCACAGAGCCCCCACCCAAAGCCTGTCTGCGCGAGTGTCTTCTCCAGCTTTTCCTCCCCTTCCTCCTCCTGCTTGAGGCCCCTGGCCACCTCTCCTCTGCTCTGTGACAGCCCCAGGGGATGTTTCCAGAGCACACGCCTGACCCTCTCACCCCTAAAATGCCTCAGCACCCCCCCGCCCGCCACAGTCCAGCCCAGTGCTCCTCCACGAGGGCCGCGTGCAGAACCCCAGGGGCTCCGCTATGCCCTGAGCCTGTCTCACCCAGAGACGTGCTCGCCTGGGTGCACCAGCCTCAGCGTTCTTCCCGGCGGCCCCAGGGCCTTCTCTAAAGCACAGGTCAAGGGCGCCCCACACATCGGCCCCCAGCTCCACCTGCCCCGCTTCCCTCTGGCGCTGGCTGTCCTCAGAGCTCCCTGGGTGCCATCTGTCCCTTGCTGGGATGCCTTCCCCCTCCGCCAGGACACTGCCAACTCGTCTGCCAAGCCTCAGCGTAGCCCACCCGCCCCCTGGAAGCCTCCCTGCCCCTGCCCGTGTAGGTCAGCTCTTAGCACTGTCTGTATCCCGCGCGAATGCTCTCTTTTCCTCTGTATGTCCCGTTAACCCTCCTCAGGGTCTCCCATGGAGTGTGTGCTCATCAGCGTGTCGCAGAGCGACCCATGGCTTTACCGCTGCCCCCCGTCAACCACTTGGACAAGTCGCCTTCCAGCTGGGCCTCTTCCCTCATCTATAAGTGATTTCTACAGTCCTGCCTCCACACTGTAAATCCCTGGACACATTTTTAAAGCCACCACCATGACGGGCACGGGGCATGGCTGTAGGCAGCCAGCCCAGGCCGGCATTCAGAGCACTGCGAGGTGGCCTCTGGGGACAGCGGGCTCCTGTCAGTTTAGGCAGGACGGGGAGAAACCCCTGCTTCTGAAGGGCCGTGGCAGGAGCAGCAGGGGCTCTGGGCTCAGGCAGCCCTGAGCTCCAGTCTCTGCTCCAACCCGCTCTGGCTGTGCATCTTTGAGCAACTGCTAAATGTCTCGGAGCCTCGGTTTCCCCATCCATAAAATGGGGTCATAAAACCCACCCTAGGGTTACTGGGTGGATTATATGAAATCACGATCCCCTAAAATCCAACCTTAGCTGAGAGCCTCTCCCGCCGCTGGCCCGACACACACACACATTACCTTCCACGCCCCCCTGTCTGAGTAGCAGAGGGTGGAGGCTTGCCTGTGGGGCGGTGGGGTCCCTGGCCTGCCCCTTTACCCCATGCGTATCCCCCAAGATAATCTCCCGTGACGTCCGTTCTCCCTAAAGGCCCTTCCGGGAGGAAGGGTGGGGCCAGGAGGGTAGGGGCCCACAGTCAGTAAAAGAGTGTTTATTTTTTCTGTGAAATCCAACCCTTAATCCCAGGATCTGCAAGCCTGGGGGTGGAGCCCTGGCCCCCTGGCCCCACTCTCTCCAGGCCAAACATTGGGGGAGGCCCACCGCACCCCCACCCCCACCTCCCCACCCTCCGTCCTGTAGGCCTGCTCACCACCCTCCCGCAGGGCGCCCCAGCCCGTGATCCAGCAGTGCAGGCCCGGCTCGAAGAAGTGGGAGCGCGCAGGCAGGCAGACGGGGCGCACGGCGGCCGAGCGCACCACGGGGTGGTCCAGCTGCAGCAGGGCCACGTCGTAGTCGTGGCTGTCCTCCTCGTGGTACGGGTGCAGGAACAGGCGGCTCACCTTGAAGGATACCTCGCCTGGCCAGCGCGAGCTCTGCCACACCTTGCCCAGGAACACCGTCCACAGCAAGGGGGAGGCCATGCTGGGGGCGGGGATGCGCCCAGCTCAGCGGCTGCCCTGCCCACCCCAGACCCTCAGGACAGATGGCTTCCCCAGCTGGGACGCATCCCTGCACCCATCCCCGCCTGCTCTGCTCTGGAAGGCTGGGCGGCTGGCGCAGTGTTCACTGTCCTCCCCAGGGCCCACCCGCCTGGGTTCCGGCCCCAGCTCCGTCCTATTCCTAGGTATGCGTGTGCCTCGGTAAGACTCAGCCTCCTCATCTGTAAAATGGGAATAGCATCTTCTACTCGTGTTACTGGGGGCAATACAGTAAGAGTGTATGTAAAAAATTAGCACGGTGCCAGGCACGTGACAAGTATCCCTCCCTTTTTATCTGTGTGCTTCATAGGCGGGGCTGCTGTGAACTCGCGGAGACCTGTCTGTCCGTCCTCACTGGGACGGGGCAGCGGAGTGCGGGGGAATCGGCAGATTGTCTGGGCAGGTCAGCGTCTAGGTCACCCTTGACCCTGAGGGCAGAGGGGAGCCAGGGATGGAGTGAAAGGGACTGAGGCGGTCAGACCGCACTCAGAAAGAGTCCCCGGCACCCAGCCGCTGGGGTGACCGGGGCGATGGTGCCAGTGTGGACGGGCAGCGGCTGAGGGTTCGTCCGGAGCACCGAGAAGGCTTGCTGTCTGGCTCTGGATGTCAGGAGGAGGGGGCACCCCGGTGGTGCCAAGCCTTTGACAGGGGACCGTGCAGACCCAGGACGGAAGAGGAGGTGCGGGGAGAGGAGTCCAGCGCTGGCTGTGCTGGGGGCTAGGCCTGACGGCCCAGAAGGTAGTGCTGGGCTGGGAAGGGGCCCTGTAAGCCCACCACCATGCAGGCAGTGATGATGTCTGTGAGGTGTCCCCGCCGGGAGGAGGGGGGCCATGGCCCGTGACCAGATCAGGCTGTTCTGGTCTGTGCTGCGCCCCGAGTGCTAGGCTCAGCCCTTGGCACATAGCGGGAGCCCCGCCAGTGTTGCTGCGCGGATGCAGGCATGAATGAACACGTGAGTTACTGACCCAGCCCCAACCAGGTGCCGAAAGGAGAGCCCAGAGAGGCGGCGCAACCCGTCCAGGGCCACGGAGCATGCTGTGGTGGAGCCAGGACTGAGCCCAAGTGCGGGGCCAGCCATTTTCGGGGTGGGGGTCCTCAGCAGCCTTCCCTCTGTCTGCTCAGAGCTTAGGGCCCTCCCTGCCACGGCCTTCCCTACCCCAGTGCTTATGGTCTCGGTCCCCACGCCCTCCCCCTCACCTGTCCTCCTGGAAGCAGTGGGCAGCGGTTATCACCCAGCGGTCGGCGATGAGGGCCCCCCCACAGATGTGTCGACCCCGAACCTGGAGGCTGGCCTGCCAGGGCCACTCACCCTCCGAGGACACGGCCCCGCCCACAATGCGGCCGGAGGGGCCCTGGAGGCCACAGTCTGGGTGGGGGAGAGGGCAGGGAGAGGCAGATGTGGAGGGGCAGGAGGGAAGCCAGCGAGACAGAAAGAGACAGAGAACGGGGAGAAGGAGAGAAGGAGAGCGAAGGAAGACATGGAGGGAAAGAAAGAAGGGAGGACAGAAGGAGGGGCAGAGGCAGGACCAAGGGACACAGAGACAGATGGACATGTGGTGAGCTTCCCCTCCAGATTCCCGGTGTGGGCACCTCCCTCTCTCCCTCCCACACTCCGGGCGCCCTTTGCGGGGCAGGACAGCGGGTCTCCTGCCCCGCCCACCCCGTCGAGCCTGTGGGGGTGGCGGCCTCACCGCAGTGCTGCTCGTCGGAGCCGTCTCTGCAGTCGAGCTGCCCGTCACACCGCGGGTTGGGCTTCTTCACGCAGCTCCGATCCTCACACTGGAAGGTGAAGGTCCCGCAGGGCACCCCTGGGAGAGAGGGGGTGGGGGCAGGGCAGAGGGTGGGTCCCTGAGCTTAAGGAAGCTTCCAAATCAAGGCCCAGGGAAGGCGAAGCCTGGAAGAGGCCAGGAGGTGACTGGTGGAGGGTCTCCGGATCACAACGAAGGTTCCCTGAGGCTCCTTCAGTGTCTCCTAAGCTATGTCCCTTCTCCCTCAACCCTGAGTGTTCTGTTGAGAGCAAGGCTATGTCTTGCCTCTCAGCCAGGGCCCCTGAGCATAGGGTCATGCCTCTTCCTTTGGTGCAGTACCCGAAGGCAGAAATGTGCCTCCATTTTCAGACTAGGCACAAAAGAGCAAGGCTGTGCCTCTCCCGTCAGACTAAGGCTCCACACTTAGCCTGGCAGTCCTCCAGGCCCCGGCCCCGGCTCGCTGCCCAACCGCCGCTCACTGCCTTCTCCACGAAGGACTTTCTGCTCTACCGTCTGGTTTTCACCGGGTCTCCCTTCCCCCCGCCTATTCGAATATTACCTCTCTTCAAGGTCCAGTGCAAAGCCCACCCCCTCTAGGAAGCTCCCCTGTCTGATCTCTCCCCACCCTCCAATCTCCCCAGGCTACTGGACCTCACATCCAGAAGGCTTTGGGCAGCGAGAGTTGCCCACCATGTGTTCCTCCTAACTGATAATCCCCAGAGAGCAGGGGTCACATGTCTGGTATCTTTTACTCCCATTCTGCCCCTTGCTTCTCCTATCACTGGGTAGTCTGCAAGAGTTGGTTGGTTGGTCAGTTGGCTGGCTGGCTGGCTGGCTGGCTGGATGGATGAATAAACCAATGGACACACATTGGAACTTGGGCAGACCAACAAATGGGTGGATCGATGGTCCAGTAGGGAGACTGACAAGCAGTTAGAAGGGTGGATAACTGAGCAGATGTAAAAACCCATAGACAGACAGGTAGTTGGAGAGATCAGTGGATGCATGCACACATATTCGTGGATGCATGGATGGAGGATGGAACAACGGACGCACAGACAGGTAGTGGGGCAAACCAATAAATGCTTAGGTTAATGGTTCAGTGAATAGTTGGTTGGAGAGGCCAATGGATGGATAAATGAGTGGGTATACATTCAAGCTCTGGTTGGAGAGACTAGAAGATGGGTGGATGGGTGGATGGATGGATGGATGGATGGACAGATGGATATGTAGGCATACACACAGAAGGGTTGGTAAGTATCTGGACACAAGCGCAGAGACCTTTGCCACAGAAGCATGCAGAAGGGCTGGGCTCGTCTGGCCGAGACCCATTTGTTGCTGGCCCTCTAGACACCGGGCCATACCCCGCCCTACCTTCCTGGCACTGCTCCTCATCACTTGCGTTGACACAGTCAGGCTGCCCATCACAGACCCTGGACAGTGAGATACACGTGCTGTCCTCTTGGCACTGGAACATGGCTCTGCAAACTGTGGGGATACAGAGAAGGGAGGAGGGAGCCTTCATGACGCCTGTAGAACATGCACGTCGCCTCACAGGTCTCTTTTCAGCTGCTTTGCCCTCGAGTTTCCCAGCAGCCTGGGGAGGTGCCCTAGTTCCTTGAGGGAAACAGAAATGAAGTGGCTTGTCCAAGGTCGCCTGGCTCAGTGGGAACTTGAAGCCAGGTGTGCTGGGGCACCCTCCGCAGCACCCGGGCAGAATCGTCCCAGAGGAAGGCGTGTCTCCCTTCCCCCCAGCTTCTCTCCGCACACACTGAAGACTTTGATGGGATAGGGGAGGCGGTAGGTCTGGGGACATAACACCCGATCAGGCCGCCCTGGCGGTGACTCTGGGAATCAGAAGCCAGGATTCAGCAGAACAGACATTGTTCCAAGAAAGCTCAGGCTTGGAGACCACCAGGCCCTGGAGCCTCTTTGCAGGGCTGGGCAGCAATGAGCCCAACTCCAGTAAGAGCTGGCAACTCCAGTCTGAGCCCCAGAAGTGGAGGAGTGAGGACCCCTTCAAGGGACGGAGATGGTGGCTTCCCTCCTTGGATGCCCAGGGCCGGCCTTCCCCTGCTTAACAGCCTCTCCTTCCTGGTCCTGCCCTCGGCCGCTCTTTTCCTCCTTGGATGGATGCCAGGGACAGAGGCTGGGGCGGTGGCCTTGTGGGGAGTAGCCCTGAGAGGGGAGTCAGGAGACCTGGTCCCAGCTCGTCCCTATCACTGCTCCATGGGACGGTCTTGGGATTCCCACCTGGTGCCTCCATCTTGCAATCTGAGCACAGAGAGAGATCCCCACTTCCTGGGTGCTGCTAGTAGGGTCTCTGCTCACAAGGGTGGGCTCAGCTGAGGGCAGAGAAGGTGAGGGGAGGGGGACTGCTCACCGCAATTTCGCTCATCCAGGCCATTGGGGCAGTCCTTGACCCCGTCACAGGCGGGCACACAGAGTCCATTCACAGAGCAGAGGAACTCCCCGGGGCAAGCTGGGGTGGCGGGAGGGTACCATTAGGACATGTCATCATGAAAACACACGTAGATGCAGCATCTGTGTGCTACCCATGCACCCACATGTACACATGCTATGCACACAGTCCCTGTGCACATCCACGCCCAGGCACATGCACACAGCACACATGGGTATGCATGAGTGTGTATCCCGGGCAAACACAAGTGACTGCTCTGCACACACACAAAGCTGCATGTTTGTGTGCACACGCATATGTGTTCACACGTGCACACACTCACTCCCTTCGTCTAGCCTCTTGGTGTCTCCAGGGATGGCAAAGGGGCTGGAAGAAGCTGCGGGGCCGTGGGGGCGCCTTCCTTGTCCCCCGCCAGCTCGTACTCACGGTCCGACTGGTTGTACAGGCTGTAGTGCACCTGCACGCCGGGCCCCGTGAGGGAGATCTGGGAGGTGAAGTTGATGGTGATGCCGGCGCTGGCCACCACGGGGATCCTCTCGACATAGGGCTGCAGGGTGCGCAGGCCACACAGCCTGGGGTTGACAAGAGAGAGACTCAGGGCCACTTGCATCTGTGCAAGGGAAGGGACAGCCTGGGCCCTGGTGCAGTCAGGGCCAGGATGGGGCAGCCGGCGGCGGGGAGCTGCACCTCCGCCCCCGCTGCCTCTGCCCTGCTTTTTCCCGTGGGTGACCGCGCACCCCCACAGTTGTCTCTCCTCTGGAAAGCAGCCTGGCTATATCACTCCTCTGCTCAAAACCCTTCAATGGCCACCCCCCCTTGCTTGCAGGATAAACTTCAAAGTCTGGATTCATGTCCCCATTACCTACCAAGTCAAGGTCCTTCTCTGAGCCTCCCTTCCCTCCCTGATAAAAGAAGGGATATTTGGTCTCTGTTGGCCTGAAATCTGGCAAAAAGGCTTCAATGTGAGCGCAGAGGCAGAAGTCCTGGCTGCTGTGTTCTCTGTGGACAGGACAGGGTGTCCCCTCGTGCTCCGTGTGGGGTCAGGAGGCAGCGTGCTCCTGCTCAGGCACTGGCCCTCCCACAGAGACACCCCCATAGCCTGGTGGCCTCCCTGGGACCCTCTGGGCCTGAGGGAGGCACTGGCCCTGCTCAGGGACGGCCATCACAGTGCTGATGGAAGCGCCTTCTCTGAGTGTGGCCACGCCTGGCGGGACCATCCCCCAGCCGTGGGAGCACCCCCTATCCCTGCTGTGTCCCCTCCCTCCCAAGAACATGCCCTTATTTCCCAGAGCAGGTAGGAGACCTCTACAGAGAGGGCGAGTTCTCCCCAGAGAGCAGGTAGGAGTCCTTCCACCTCCACGGTAGGGCCACAGCGAGCTCATCCCGCCCGGAATCCAGGTGGACCCCACCTCACCATGCAAGTGGGTGTCCCTTCATGGAGTGGTGAAACCAGACCCCCAGAGCAGCGGGACCACCCCAGGGAGCAGTGTGGAGTTTCCTGCCTTCCCAGGCGGACCCCCTCCCGGAACAGATGGGATGCTCCTAGGAATGCCCCCCTCGCCCAGCAAACAGGAACGCCTCCACTGAGCAGGGAAGCAGCCCCTGAACTCTGGTGCAAAGATCTCGAGAGAGAGGTAAAAAGGCCGGAGCCGGTAAGTCGACGGAAGTGAAGGGAGCAAGTGGGAATGCCCATCGCATGCTGCGAACACCCGCTCCTACACACACACGCGCGCGCACGCGTCAGCCATGGGCCAGGTACCTCCTTAGAACTTCTAGAACGCGCTAAGCACTTCAGCGAATTAACCGGTGAGTTAATCAACGAACCGCTGAGGATGAGCTTTGGGGCTCTGTTAGCCTCTCAAGGCGTGGGGTGGAGCCTGGGCACAGCGGGACCTCCCCTGCTCCTCCCCCTCGCCTGCAGCTTGCAAGGCCTCCTTGTTCAGGCATTTCGAGGTTCTTCAAGCACCTTCGCCCTGTGAGGGAGGACTTGTTCCCAAGGCCAGAGCCCAGCCTCCTCAGGACCCAGGAGGACCCACACAGCCTGCTCATGGGGAGGTGGGCCCCCGGCGCTCACTGCAGCGTGAGCTTTGGGGGCTGAGCCCATACGTTCCCATACCCCCCACAGACCTGGCCCAAGGTGTAGCTTCCCTACACTGTCTGCCCACAGTGACCATATTCTTGCCCTCATACCAACAGCTCTCCGAGTGAGGTCTGGGGACCACCGGCATCCACAGTAAAAATTATTATCATAATAAGGCTCAGCTATCTCATGCCTTTTGAACTCTCTCTCACAAGAATACAGGCAAATTTTCCAGAGACTGCGTGATGTATGATATGGTGAACCGATTAAATGCAGAAGCAAATGTGGGGATCCAGCTGTGGTCGAGTAATCCAGTTATTAAAGAAAGTTGTGAAAGTGGAAATGATGTTGTTTTTCTCACCAAATGTTATTGGCTTTGGAAAACACCATTAAAAAATGTGAAAATGTAATGGTTTTGTTATTATTTTAAATGAATTGATAAATATTTTAAATGTTTCTCAGTTTTAACTTATAATACTGTAAATATAGATTATGTAACGTGTGTAAAAACTCCTTGGGGTGCTCAACAATTTAAGAAAGTGTCAAGGGGTTCTGAGGAGGGAACTTCTGAGAACCACTGCTAGGATTCCCACAGCCCACAGACGGCCAGGCTGGGAGGAGGCGCCACTAGGGGGCGCCCCCGAGCAAGCCTGGCCCCTCATGGTTTTACAACTAAGGAAACGGGGGGGGGGGGGGGATTTGGTCGTTTGTTTTTAAAATGGATGAACACGTTACCATCGATTGTTATCCCCAGAGAACCGCCCTGCAGAGCAGACAGGGGAGCCAGGGGCTGGGAAATACTGGGCAGAGGGACATGAGGGATGAAGTGCATCCCTAAACATCTTAAGGGTCAAGGACACGGGGCGCTGTCTCCCCACGGTCTCTGGGGATTGTCAGACAGGGAGGAGTCAGAGCTGGGCTGGAGGGGAGTGGAAACGTTCCGGTCTGGAAGAATTTGAGCGTTGCACGCTTGCTCCAAGCCTTGGCCACGTGCCCCAAAGTACCAGCATTTGCGGGCAGGACGTGGTGGCAACTGGAGTCTGAGAGAGAATTCCAGAATCAGCTGGTGGCTCAGCCGGGTACCCCAGAAACCTGCCCAGCCTGAGAAGCATTTGGCTCTCACCCTGGAGGCCTCAGGCAGGGGCGGGAAGGCAGAATCCCTGGGGCAAGACTCTTGGTTAGCAGGTAGCCAGACAAGACTTCAAGGGAGAGCCTGCGATCTAGTTACTCAGGCTGAGTTCTCAACTCAGAGATGATCTGTTTAGCCTACGCAGTGTTATTTATTTATTTTTTCCAATTTAGTTGCTAGCTAATTTCACATAATAATCTAGATTCTTGTTTCTCATGAAAAATAAGCCCAGGAACACTGGCTGGTGCTTGGAAACCACCTGATTGAGTCAGTGCACATGTGGCCCTGCTAACAGAGTCCCTACCTGTCCCGCTATTTCCAAGCAGCCTGCCTCCTGAAATTACATATGCCCTGTCCCCACATCTGCATTTCTGGTTCCTGCTGCAGAGCCTTCTGGGGGAGGGTACACATCCTCCAGCTCTCCGATTCCTCCCCACCCACCACATGCCGCCTCCTCCCCAGCAAGCCCTCTCCAAGAAGCTCAGAAGCCTGAAGGCTGTGGAGCGCTCCTCTCATCTCAGCCACAGTGTCCTGAAGGGTGCATTTTTTTTTGCACTGTGGCCTGCCTGGCTTTCTCATCTCTCTGGATTTGGGGATTTTTCCTTCTTGTCTCAAATGGTAAGCAGGGACCATGCCTACCAACTTGCATATCAATAACTCCGCACAGGGAGGACTTCAAGAAAGGTTGGATGGTGGGTTGAGAGAAGGGTGGGTGGATGGATGAAGGGTCGATGGATGAAGGGTGGATGGATGAAGAGTGGATGGATGGATGGATGGATGGATGGAGGGGGAAGGGTGGGTGAAGAGAAGGAAAAAAGAAGGGGTGGACAGATGGTGGATGAGTGGATGGATGGTTAGATAGATGGATGAATGAATGGGTGGGTAGAGGAGTGAGTGAGCAGGTGGAAGAAAGGAAGGGTGGGTAGATGGATGGATGGGTAGATGGAAGGATGGTGGGAGGAAGGAAGGAAATAAGGAAGATGGGTGGATGCATTCCTTTCCCCAAAGAGGGTCAGAGGATGCAAACAGTAAAGGAAGGAGGACAGCAGCGTCTCACACGGTGGCCAGAGTCCTGGACCTAGAGCTACAGAACTGAGTTGCAGGCCCAGCTTTGCCCCAAGAAGCAGTTGTGTTACCCCAGGCACAGGGCTCAACCTCAGCAAGTTTCAGTTGTCACACCTGTAAAAAATCTCCCTTGTAGGAGGTTTTGAGGAATGTGTGAGAAAACGACGTCTTTGAAAGCCAGCTGCTGACGTGGTCAGGCTGAGTTCATCTAGGGCAGCCGCTGGAGCTCTGCCTGCCTCACCGCCAGCGCCCAGCGCAGGTCTGACACTGGGCAGTTTCCGGGCGGCCTTGGTGGCTGCAGGCCGTGCTGGCGCCCAGGGGCTCAGCAGAGCGGAAGGGCCGCCCCACAGCCAGGCCAGGCCAGCAGGGCTCCGGGCAGGTCTGAGGAGCCTGCCTGCGCCCATCAGTAGGAAAGAGGTAGAAATGGTTGGACAGATCACAGGAACAGTGACATCACAGGAGAGGAAGCTGGCAAGAGGCAGGTTCCGGGAAAGGGGGAAGCCTCGCTGCGGTGACGCCCAGCCAGAGTGGGTTCTGCGAAACCAAGCAGCTGGTGGCTGGATCTCTGGAGGCCAGTCCCTCCCCTGCCTCCAGGCCACTCAAAGGGCATCAAGCCTCAGCCAGAGTGAGGTGGGCACGGGGAGAAGCTGGAGAGAAAGTGGGGAGGTGGTGGGAGGGGAGAGAAAGGGCTCAGCGCAGTGCAGAGACATGCCCAAGGATGCCTGGACAGTGAAGGCAGCCCAGGCCAGCGTTTCCTGCTCACTACGCTGGCACCTGAGGAGTAAGGCACCCTCTCCTTGACCCAACCTCTATTGTTCCTCCTCAGTGGTCACTCTGGACCCAAGGACTATGTCTCCCTCTGCCTACAAACCCTGTGCCTGGAAGTCTACACCCTTCCCCAGATGTCTCATGTCTTTACCACCCACACAAGCAGATTTTCCAACAAATGCTCACTCAAAGAATTTCCCAGCACCTACATAGGATGATCACTATCAAAGAAGATCATAACTAGAGGAAGCAGCCTGTCCGGGGCACACAGTGCAGAGGTACGCCTCTGCCTTCCCTTCTGTGCTGGCACACGGGCAGAAGCCTGCAGGCAGGGGGACGGCAGTCCCCTCTCGGGGACCCTGACCCTTAATGGAGGTCTGAAAAGATAGAGACAGGACCTTGCGGGCTGCTCTTGGAACTGCCGAGAGCCACAGAAACTGTTAGTCTTCTCACTAGGGGTCCCAAGGGTTGGTCAGACTGCAGGCGCCGGGAGCGCCCACAGCGGGTATGGCTGTATGGAGGTTCTGCGCGAAGAATGGGCACCAGCGTGCGCACCAACGTGCGCATGCGTACGTGGGCGGACTGAAGGAGGTGCGCAGACACCGGCCCGCGTTTGCACACCCATACACGGGGGCTGGGTCAGACCACTGTGCCCAACCCTGGTTTCCCCCCGACAAGCTGGGTGCGTTTGTGGAAGTGCCTTGGCCTCTCTGTGCCTCAGATTCCACAATGGTCCAGGGACCTGCACCAGGACCTGCTTCCTTACCGGGTTGTGGAGGATGAAGAAAAAGGCACCTAAACCTCTTAGCTTGGGGCCTGTCCGCACGGGGTCGGCAGCCAGTTACGAATTTATGGTTGATGCCTCTTTCCCAGGCTGGCAGGAGCCAGCGTCCTGCAACAGCCATTGTCTCATTTAGTTTTAGTCCTGTGTGGGGATCTGTTTCCCACCCATTTTCCAGAGGAGTTACCCGAGGCTGGGAGACATGAGTCCTGGCCAAGTGGGAAGGAGAGGAGTCAGGATTGAGCCCTGTTCTGTCGTGTTTCCACAAAGTAAGCTCCTTCCGCAATGACACTTCACTAGGAACTAACAGAACACACTGGGTGCACCTATCTGATGGGTGAATAATAAGTTGGGGCCGTGGCCAGGGGGCTCAGTTGGTTAGAGCGTCATCTCAATATGCCAAGGCTGTGAGTCCGATCCTTGGTGAGGGCACAGGCACGAATCAACCAATGAATGTGAACGCACAAGTTAGTGGGACAACAAATCGATGTTTCTCTCTCTCTCTCTCTCTCTCTCTCTGTCTCTTCCTTCCCCTCTCTCTCTCTCATATCAACAAATGCAAATTTTAAAAAATAAAAATGAACAGTTGAGGCCCTGGGCCGGCCTAACTCCCTTGTTTTACGGATGAGGCTGGGAGTGTTCCCAGAGGTCTGTGCAGAAGCCAAGTGGCCTCCATGAAGCAGGGAGAGGAGTGGGAATGGAGGAAAGGGGTGGGGGCGCTGGGCCCCCATAGTCCCCATCTGACCACTACCTGGCTACACCCTGAGGTCCCTCCCTACCACTCAAAGGCAAAAAGATAAGGACTAGCAGCCAAGTCTTTAGTGTTGTCCAAGTCTTTAGTGTTGTCTAGCCTCAGTTTGTCCACCTATATGTACAATGGATGAGGGTTGAGATCAATGGCCCATTCCGCTCACACGTTCTATAGCTCAGTGGTTCTTTGAGACACTGGGAGGGGGAGGCCCCCTCAGAACCCGTTAGAAACTGTCACAGCCCCTGAAATTCACCCTCAGGGCATCATTCCTTTGATTAAGGCTGTCTCCATCTGTGGTCCACATTTGAAACCCACAGGGAGCTCCTGGTGTCCACAGCCCCCGGGGCCTATCCCCTTGCTGACCCCTCGGGGCTGCCTCAGGGAGGGGGAGGAAAGCACTCTGTAGGGAGCACGGTGGGGGCCGTCTCGTGTCCTGCTGCTCCTGGCAGTGGGCATGGGAGAGGCCCTGACTACGGACGCATCTGGGCACTGCCTAATCCCCCTGAGCTTCGAGTCCCTTCTCAGAGGAACAGAGCGATGTTTCCATGGACATCGCAGGCCACTGGGCCAATGACCTGAAGCCCGTGCCTAGCGCCAGGCTCGGTGCTGCCGAGGGCCGGGGCCCGGGGCTGAGCTCCTGGTCAATGGAATGGCCATGGCGTAGGGGGAAGGGCAGGCGCGTCAGACCCAGGGCCCTTCCCCCTCCTTCTTAGCCCCTCTCTGAGACGCCAGATTCAGCTCTGGGGTAGAGGGGGCAGCAGGGAAACCCACTATCATCACTCAGAGGCTGTGAATCCTGGACCACTGTCAGGGTCTCTGTGAGCCCCTGAACCCCAGGGGCGCCCAGCTGCCCTCAGCCGGGCAGACCCTAGGCAGGTGGACAGGGATCCCCAAGGAAGCTCCATGAAGGACCAAGGCAGTCATGCCCAGAAATGCCGCCCACATGCTGGGAGCGGTGGGACAAGGTGCCTTCTGCTCCCCGAAAGGCGCAGTCACACCGTCTGGGGTCCCCCCCTGACAGCGCGGGCCTGAGTGCACACCGTCTGTCACCCCCAAAACAGCACGGGCCTGAAGTCACACCGTCCGCATTTCTTCTTTGTCCTTTAATCACTGCCCCTGATAAATTTCAAAAGCCCTGGAAAGTCTGATGACGAGTCAACGAACATTGTCAACCCCTGTCCCCTTTGGCTGATGCCTTGGAATAGGGACAACCTATAAGCAAAGTATAAGCGTTGGTGAATGTGGACACCAACCCCAGCATCCAAGCATTCCAGGGTTCTAGAACCTTCCCATTGTGGTTTATTGGAATCTTGGATACTCAAAATCTGTGAAGCCAAGAAGTCAGACTTTGCATTAGAATTCTAGCCTCTTACACACACGCCTCCACCTAGAACCCCAGGATTGGAAGGGAAGGTGCAGGGCCAACCTGCTAGTAGAGGTACAATCTTCTACTCAGCGTTCTTAGACCCCAGGTGGGGAGGGGTCTCCCAGCTCTACAAAGCTGCTTCAAGATGCTTCTTCTGTCCCCAAGCCTCTCTCCACCCCCCAGCAGTAGAGTCTGGCAGGGCCCCCTCCTGCTTCCCCTCCACGCGACCACTCCCTTCCCAGTGCTGCCTCCCAGATTATCCCCTGCCCCTGAACCTTTGTCACCCCCTGTCTCTCTACCGGAGTCCCCGCACAGCACTTAGACCTGGAGCCCTCCACTGTAAATACCCCCTCCCTTCAATGTCTCCTTGTCTCCTCCTCTCCCATGGCCCCACCGCCCTGCCCACCCGGCCCCTTTGCAGCTGTCAGGACCACCAGCAGCCCCAGGTGCCCGCCAGTGGGCACTGACCAGTCCTCATCCTACGGATCAAACTGCAGCCATGTCTGACCTGAGGACGGCCCCTCGAGCGACCTGCTCCCACTGTGTCCTGCCCACCTCCTCGAGGGGCTCACTTCTTCTTCCAAAACTTTGTCACCAGGGGAGCCAAGGGCAGGACAGGTAGCAGGGTGGGTGCCCTGGACAGGGTGTAGGTGACAAAGGGTGACCCTGGCTACCGAGCACCCCTGCGAAGTGGTCGGGTTAGCCAAAGCACTGGAGCTGGCCGTGCAGCCTCCCAGCCAGGAAGCCCCGGATTTACACCAAGAGCAAGGGGCGCGATAAGGGAAGGAGGCCTCCGATTGCACTGGGGTGCTTCAGGGAGGGTGCTCTGGCACTGTGGGGTCCTGAGGCTCCCGCATCACTTCTTTGAAGGATTTGGGTACCAGCCAGTGGGGTGACAGCCCCCAAGGAAATAAACCATTCCACTCGAACTAGGATCAGCATCCAAGCTGCCCAGTGACACGTGTGTGTCTGAGACCTTTGGGAAGTAGGAGGCGGGGCTGGGGCCAGGGTGGGGGTGCGACAGGGACGGGGTCACAGGGTGTGGGGCCACAGGCCTCAGCGGCCCCACCTCTACTGTCTTCCTGGGCTGCTCCTCTGAGGTCCGGGACTTGGGCTCCCAAGGGGGTACCTGCGGGGAGAGGCAGGGGTCACAGGGGGCGGTACCTCCGGTTCTGGATCGTCCACTGGCCCTGGGTACACGGCAGGTCGTATTTTTGCCTCCGCAGTGCATAGGCATCAAACCAGAGGGCCAAGCCATAGTCTAGGGAGGGCACCTGTGACAGAGGAGCTGCTCACCAGGCGGCCCGTGGGCTGCGGCTGGTCCAGCGACCACACCTTCTAGGCATGGCTGTGGCCAACAGAGCCGGACCTCGGCCACCCCCGCCACCCCCGATCCCAGAGCGACGTGGACCCAGGTCCAGCCTGTGGGGGCGTCATCAGAGGCAGGGCAGTGGACTCCACCCAGCCAGGGTCCCTGGAGGGCCTAGGAGGGCCCTGGACAGACAGCAGGGGGGCACGCGGGGGCGGGGCTCACCTTGAGGTGCCAGGAGCAGTGGGTGCTGGGTGCGTAGTAGCTGGGGAAGTACGGCGTGCTGAGGATGCCCTGTGTCTCCAGCTGGCCCTCCAGGGTCAGGTTGGCCTCGCAGGCTGATTCAGAGAACAAGGGTCACACAGGGCCCCTCTGCTGCGCCCCACTGCACCTCCCAGCGGGGGCGGGGGGCAGCTGAGACCCCACCGCCCCTCCGCCCCTTAACAGTAGCCTCGCAGTTGAGTGTGACTGTGTGACCTTGAGCCTCAGTTACCTCGTCTGTAAAATGAGGACAGTAAGAGTACCTACCTCAGAGGGTAGTTTAGAGAATTAGACAGAAGACACTCAGGCCGCCTGGCATGTAGTAAGGGCTCAGTAAGTGCGAGCTATTGGCATGAACCGTGCAGGGCGGGACTGGCCACCCAGTGGATTCGTGACTGCAAGAGCCTCAGCCGCAGGCCTTGTGGGGGAGGGGAAGAAGCGGGGTCCTTTGCAAAGATGAGGCTCGGAGGAAAGAGGAGCAGCTTAGCTGAAGTCCCACAGTGAGAGGATGAGGGTTTGGGAGCGTGAGCGTCCCCTGCCGTCCTGCGTCCTCTCCATAGAGTCAAGGTCTCTAGAGCAATTGTTCCCTTCTCGCTAAAGTTTTGCCCAACTCTCCCATGAGAATGAGACAGCTCTGGCCCCTCCTTAGTCCCAGGGACCCCTGGAGGGCAGCCAGGGCCCCAGCAGAGTCACCTGGGTACCTGGGGCACTGTCCGAAGGCCTTGGGGGTCAGCGCCAGGAGAGGGAGAGGAAGCTGAGCGAGGAGGGGGAAGCAGCAGCTGTGTGTAGTCTCCTGTTTACAACCCTTCCCACCAGAGCCCTGGAAACTGCTGGGTTCCCTTTGCATGCCCAGAGGCATGGCTACTGCATTCCCACAGACAGCCCACGGGGGGCAGCGGGGGAGGGTATGTGTGCTTTTCCTGGGAGGGGGCAGTACAGAGGGGTCCAGAACAGGAGAGTGGCAGCTGAGGAGGAGCCAGGGGACAGTGTGGGGAGGGCCCCCCCCAGCCCCTTGGAGATTTCCAGGGACACAGTGGGTCCTCAGGCCTGTAGACCACAGAGCAACCCCCTCCAGGCTCAGCCTTGGTGGGTGCAAAGGGAGGAGGGACAGCAAGAGGAGGAGGAGAGGAGACGTAGAAAAAGGGCCAGGAGAGCAGGAGAGGGGGGAGGCCAGACGAGAACTCAGGAGAGAGAACGGGAAGGCAGGAGGAGCGTGAGGGAGGTGAGGGAGATGAGGGAGCGAGCCAGCACCTCAAGTGAGCTCGGAGGAGAAGGCGAGGGACGCAGACTGAGCATCAGGGAGTGGGGGCGGCGTTGGGGCTGCGGGAAGGCGGGGTGGACAGCAGAGGCCCTTCCAGAAACTTCCCTCCCCTCTTCCCACACCACCTGGATACAAGGAGGTGAAGGGCATGCCCAGGGCTGAGCCCTCAGTCTCTGCCCCCTCACTTGCGCCCTACCCACCTCATCCCCTCCCCAGCACCTGAGCCCTCACCCTGGAAGGCCACGGGCTGCACCGAGAGCACAAAGGGGTCGTAGTAGCTGTGTAGGCCCTTCTTCCAGACCACCGCCATGACAGCGCCCGAAGCCAGCACCTCCACCACGGGCTCCTGGCGGCTGCAGCCATAGACCCTGGGTGGACAGAAGGGGGCGTGGGTAAGCCAGGAAGGTGCCTGGGAGGAGCCGAGGAGGGTCAGCTGGGAATCTGTGCATCTGGGTGTGCAGTCGGCCTGCCATGTGGGTTCACTGACAACGTGCTGACTCTTCTCTGGTGCAGGGGACCGAGGGGGGTTCCTTAAGGATCGGGCCAGCATCTCAGCTGAGAAAGGCCAGGGGATCGCTCAGCCTTCAAGAGCTTATCTGCAACGGTGTCAGCTGACTCCAGCCCCACAGAACCTGTTATACCCCCTCAGAGTCCCCATGACCTCTGAGTATCCAGCCGGTGCCCGAAGGAAGAGCAGCCAGGTGCCTGTGGGGACCACATTTCCCAGCTGGCCACACCCTAACCCCTGGTCTTGTTCTGGGCTGGGGCGGAGAGGAAGCAAGGGTACAGGCTGGTGAACCCCCTGGAGCACCCCAGGATCCTACACAGAGCTTTGTGCCCAGAATACACAGAATAAATAATGGTACTCCAAGAATTCTGGATTCTTCCAGGTCTGGAATGTCAGCCTTGCCAAGGCTGTTAGGAGATTGTCAAAGTCAACTGCTTGGTTTCTAGGTGGGGAAACGGAGGCTCAGGAGCATGCTAAGGCCCCACTGTGAGTTCACAGCAGAGAGAGAGGTGCACTGGGCACTGTCTGTGACAGCACCCAGCGTCCCCTGCCGGTAGGTGTCCCCTGGTTTGCCATCTCAAGCAGGGGTGCTCCCAGCTTCCCCTCCCCTCCTACCAACCTCCATCAAATGACCCCTTCTCTCCAACAGAGTCCTCCGAGCCATCGTTAATTCTTAGACCAGGTCCCAGGAAGCCAATAACCCAGCTTCCCAGAGTGGTCATGTCACCATCCAGCGCAAGGTGCCACCTGCCTCCGGTGTGCTGGCCATGAACTTGACCGGAGAGGATGGGCGTGGATGGGGGCACCACGGCAACCCCGCGGTGCGTTTGTGAGATCCAGTCGCAGCCTCAAACGTCAGAGTGGTGTGATCCCAAGGCAGCTCCCAGGAGGGTCCTGGGGCTGGTGGGTCCTGGGGAGGGGCTCTGGCCCCGGCCTCTGCTACCCTAGTTCCTCATTCCTCCTGCTTTTACCCCCCGCGTTCGTTCTCACTGCTGGGCGCCCCCACCCTCCCACATGCCACGCCCTCCTCGCCTTCACGTGCTCCTCTCTCCCGGAAAGGGAGAGATAAGAAGGTAGGGTTAAGAGGAACCTGGAGGCCACATTTAAAGGGGGCTTCCGCTTTTAATGTTGGGGGGTTTCTTTCATTTTCTTTTATTTACTTAGCAGCAGAGCCTTACTGTAGCCAAACTGTCCCCAGTCTCCCAGGGTGTGAACGGGTGAAAACAAACCAGAAGGTTAAAAGTGGATGAGCACCTGCTCTGCTCTCCCATCACCACTGAAGTTCCCTCTCTCGCTCTGGGGTACACTTTGAGGACTCCCCCAAACTTGTCTGTCATTTTAGACCTTCTCCTTGGGTCTGAGGTGGAGTCACCAGCCTGGGTGCCACAGTGCGCAGGGACAGAGCCACACCCAGCAGCCAGGCCCCACCAACAGCAGGGGGTTGGGGGACATTCAGAGAAGCCCCAGGGGAAGTTTGTCAGTGTCTCTGCCTCCCGAAAAACCAGATACCATCTGGCTTCTCTGTATTTCCCAGAGCCCTCCAAGAACCGGCCCACACACACCTAGACTAAGGTCACGGCGTGGCAGGGCAGCCGGCTGTGTCAGCAAGTCCGTGACGCCTCGGAGCCTAGAGACTCAGGGAGGCTCTGGTGGGGGGAGCTGGGAAAAAGCTTCACAGGTTCCCCCCAACCCTGCAAGGTCTGGCCCTGATCTGAGCACGCAGGACCCACCCCACCCCTGCCTGGAAGCTGGCCCAGCCCCAGCATGACAGGGAAGCCAGCAGCCTGGGGCCCTCTGTGTCTTTCCCCACCTCTACCCTGCGGGGAGATGACCAGGCTCCTCGTGACCAAAGCCGTTTCTAGCCCTTTTATGGTCTCCCCCTCGCCCAGCCTGCCCTCTGACCCGGTCACTTCTGCACGCCGTATCATATCCTGTGTCCTAAAGCCCGGCTCCCCCGCTCAGGAGCGCACCGGCAGTGCCCGCTTCCCAGGAGTTAAAGTTTACATTGCTCCTGGCACCCGTGCTCTTAGCGACTTTGCTGCAGCTGGACAGCACGACTGCGGGTGAGGGTCTTGGCATGGATGGGTTGCTTTAAACCCTCACAATGACCCTGCAAGGTAAGCATGGTTGTGCACCCATTTTACAGGCGAGGAGACTGAGGCTCAGAGAGGCAAAGCGGCTTGCTGTAGGGCACACAGCCAGAAAGCCACAGAGTGGGAGGGGGATGTCGGGGCTGCCAGGTTCCGAAGCGTTCTTCTGACGAGCCGTGTGGCCTCCCAGAGCTGACGTTGGGGGTCATCTAGCACAGCTGTTGTGTTACAAATGGGGAAAATGGAAGGGGAAGGGGACCGCCCACAGTCCACAGCCATTTCCAGCTGCCCCTCCCCCTCTGGGTGAGCCTCAGTGCCTCCCAGATAGTGGACCTGAGGTCACACAGCTCCTGGTCTCAGAAGCCTCCGTGTGACCTTTGACCTCACACCACCACTTCCTCCCCAAACCCCCCACCTCCACCCGCACCCTACCCCCCACCTTCCCAGAGACTCACGAGGTGATGAGCCTTCTTTCCAGGGGCCCTGCCACATCATACATGGCCAGGCGGTCCCGGCAGTCGGCCAGCGTCCACTCAAGCCGGAGTTTGAGCATCAGATCCTCTGGGCCCTGCAGGTGCCACAGGCAGCTGGAGACCAGGTAGTCGGGCCCCTTCAGCTGGAGGACCTGGCCCCGGCCCACATAGCTGTAGCGGTAGCAGCCTGGAGTGGGGAAAGGGACAGGCTCCCTGACCCCTACGAGCCAAGAGGAGAGGCCCGGGGAGCCTCCCGGGGCAGGGCTGGGGCGGGGAGAGCAGCTGGACGGGGGGCAGCGCCGAGGCGCCATGTCCCACCGTTCCGTGCCCCTGGGCTTTCACCTCCAGTCTCCACGCAGGCCCTCCTCATTCAGTCATCAGCTCATGCATTCACTCACTCCACTCGCTGGGCTCTCCAGGCTGGGCGAGCGCCAGACAAAGGTCCAGTCGCTGCCGGGAGTGCCAAGAACGGCAGGGACAGACACAAAACACAGTGGCAATAGCTTAGGAGGCGAGGGCTCCAGGCTGGGAAGTCCCAGGGGGCGGCGGGGGGGGCGGTCACAGTGCAAGCAAAGCGCTGGAGGCCATGGCGGGCGGGGCAGAGGCGGCCATGGGTCAGACTGGCTGCTGGGTGCAACACTGAGGAGGCTGGAGACTGGCAGGCGGCTGTGCCATTCGGGGACCCGGGTGAGAGGTTTGTTTCAGGTAGAGAGAAGGGAGTGGATTCCAGTGGGGCTGGGACCGCCCTCGGGAGAGAAAGTGAGCGCTAGCTAACGGCAATGAAACAAGGAGAATGAAGCCATCTGCAAGCCCAAGCGTTTGGCGCATGCTGGAGCGGAGCTGAAGGCCACACCCTCACCCTCTCCTGTAAGGCCTCTGTGAAATATTTCTATTGTTGTTCCTGTTTTTACGAACCTGCGACAGACAGACCTGGGTTCACCTAATCTCCACCCAGTCCCTTCTGGGCCTTGATTTCCCGAATGAGGACAACGACGTCATCCTTGCCGGGTTGTCACAAACCCTAGGCATGTTGCACGTTTGAGTGCTTGGCACAATCCCTTGCACACAGTAGGTGCTCAATATATGTAGTGGCTGTTCCTTCGGTGGGAGAGGGAGTAGGGAAAGCTGCAGTGAAAGCCCTGTGACTTGTCACCCTTAGCAGGCCCCACTTGAGGCTCAGATGCACCGGCTGCCCTCACTTCACACCGCCCGCATCACACGGACTCGCCCACCCCCCCAGACTGGGCCCCCCCGGCTGAGCCCCCTCCTCTCTGATGTGTCCTCGGTGAGCTTTGCATGTGGTGCTAGAACTCGCACAGCAGAACTAACTATACCGTTCAGTCATTCGACACAGTGATTGGGAACCTGCTCTGTGTTCGATTTAGGCGCCAGGCACCAGCGGGGAACACACGAATCTCTCCCGCGGAGCATGAGTACCTCACTTGAACCTTGCCATATGCAGCGAGGCCGTGTGGTCCGCCAGGAAGTAGAAGGGGTGGGGGGCTGAGGCCCAGATGTGGGGGCAGCCTGCTGTGCGGGGAGCCCACACTCTGTACTACAGCACCACCTCTCACTGGCCGTGGGACTCAGGGCCAGTCGCTTGGCCACTCAGTTCTGTTGGTGGACACAGTGCTATTCCTTGTCCAACCTCCTTCTCTGAGGACCAGGAAGGGAGTGGCCGTGAGCACGCTGTGCTCTGGTGCTGCCGCCTGCTGCTCGGCTCCCTCTTCCTGGCCCCTGGCTGTCCTGGCCCCAGCAGGGAGCTGGCCTTCCCCATGGAAAGACTCCTGACACCTGCCAGGGGAAGGGCTGGGGCCTATGACACCTGCCTGGGCCAACAGCCGGGGAAAGGGGCCTGGCTGCTCAGAGGTGTTTGCAGTCTTTAAATCTTGCTCCAAGCTGATGCTTTGCTTCTGCCATTTTAATAATTACGGTTTTTTTTGAGGCCAATTAAATGGAGAGGTAAGCACTGGTCTCTGTTGATAATCAGAACCCCCTGGTGCCTCTGGTTGCTGGAAAAAAGTGAATGAATCTGCCTCACCCAGCCTTTGATCGCGCTGTTCCCTCTGCCAGAATGTCCTTTCCCCTTCTTGACCTGACAGATTCCTACCTATCCCCCATGCCTGAGTCTGCCGCCTCCTCCTCCAGGAAGGCTTCCAGGACCCCCTCAGTCAGGAGCAACTCCTTCTTTTTTTCTAGAGGCACGTCCCTTCCTCTACTTTGGATTGGAGCCCTGTCCCCACTGCCCTGGGGCCTCTGGTCGAGCAGCGGCTCCTATGATGTGGTGACAGTCTCGTTATGAGTCTGTTTCCCTCATGGGGCTCTGAGCTCCTCTGAGGGCAGGGGTAAGGACGCGGTCATCTGGTGTCCCCAGCCCAGGCATGGGGCCTGGCATGGAAGAAGTGCTCAAAAGTCCTGTTTGAAGGACTTTGTTATTCCTGCCCCGTTAGACACTGTGTTCCCAGAGGGCAGGGACTCCAGATGTTCATGGAACCAAATAAGCGTAACTGCAAAGAAACTTGGGGACACAGGGACAGCTGGCACAGGCGAGGGCAACAGGAAGGCCCATCCCAGACCCAAGGTCAGGGCTATGAGTGTACCGATGCTGTGTAAGATAGATGGATGGATGCAGGGAGAGAGAGAGAGGATAGACAGATGGTAGATAATAGACAGATTATAGACAAATGATAGATAGATGATGGAGACATAGAGAGATGAGAGATGACATACAGATAATATTATAGACAGATGATAGCTAGGCTAGCCCAATGATAGATATTAGATTATAGATGGATAGATGATAGACAGATAATAGATAGGTGATAAATAGATAGATGATTGATAGATAGATAGATAGATCAGTTTTTTGTCTACTCCTCTGAACCAGCTCTACTACCCTACTGGTTCCCTCATGATACAGAGTGAACTAACCCTCTGCCACGTGCTCCCTATATCTGTGTATGAGAAGCACAATTTGAACTATCTGAAAGTCGTACTTGTGCCCCATCACCTCCATCCAGCAAGGAAGTAAGCACTGGATCAGCCGGATGGGAGGAGAGAAGGTCAGCGAAGGTACAATGGAGCCCCCCCCAACATGGAGGAGAGCAAGGCCGCAGCCGACCTCAGCTCTGGGCGGAAACTCGAGGAGTACAGGAAGGACCCGAGAATTTAGGGGCTTGGGCTCAGGGCTTGGGCACAATGGCCCAGGCCGTGCCCTGAGCAGCTCAGGAGTCGCCAGTCACACAGACTACAACGTGGCACGCCCCTGGCCTTGAGCAGCGCAGTGGCCCTGCTGGTGCTGAGCTTCCCGGGGCTCGGCAGGGAGGCTGTGGAGCCTCTTGGGGGAAAAGCAAGGTGATGCCAGCACCATGGCACAGGGGTGGGTGAGGGCGGAGGGCGGAGGGCAGAGGCCCGGCTGGCTGAGAAAGGGAGGGAAAATGTGGAGGGAGCATCCTTGAATGGGAAATATCCCCAGAAGACCAAGTTTGAAACCCAAAGTGACTGAGACACCTTGAATTAGCAAGATTATTTTTGACCATCTGTGCAAACCATGGCTTGTGGGCCCATTCAACTCAATGACAGAAACATAGAGTCACTCTCTGACGACCCACACAGGCAACACACACGTGCTTGTGTACATGACACACATGTGTTCACATGTATATCATGTGTCCTTTGGTCCCCCCACAGCCTTGCTTGGGACCCTCACCGGGTCCATGATGGCATCCCCCAGGTGACTCCGGGCTAGTGCTCCCTGCAACCCACCAAAAAAGCCACGTGATCCCCTGAGACTTGACCAAGCCAAGAGAAACACCAACTCAAAAGTGGAAAAACAAAAGGAGCGTACCCAGTGTGGAATTCAGTGCAACTATGTCTTTTATGCTGGTTTCTGTTAAAAGGAAATGAACAAACAAATAAAGACAAATAATAAATAAATAAAATGGAAACAAAAATAGGAGAGGCCATCGGAGCCAGCCTGCCTGCAGTTTCCCCCGAATGCGCACCCTCCCTTGGCCGCCACCCCAGTCTTGGCTCCTGAGACCCTGGGGGTCCACCCTGATGGCATCCCAGCCCTAGCGGGCAGCTCTCCGCCCCTCATCAGACCATCCTGCATCCCCCCCTCAAGTACTGACCCAGGATCACCAGGCCCTCGGGGTCGGGCTCATACTCCGCCCTGTAGGGAGCAGGGGCCGAGCCGTTGGCCGTGGACAGCAGCTCCTCCACCAGCACCGCCCGCACCACCTCGGGGCTCAGCATCGGCTGGTGGTGCTCGGGGATTTGGAGGATGAACCAGAAGAAGCAGGTGAGCGGTCCGTCCCTGAGGCGGACAGAAGCGAGAGGGGCTGGGGCAGGGGCCTGCGTCTCCCTGCCCGGCCCCTGCTCCTGCGGGGAGAGCACCAGCTGTGGCTCAGGCGTGCTGAGCGCTTACTACCTCCCAGGCATGGCTCTCCACCTCTGCAGGGAGCCTCCTCGCCACCTCTAGGCAGGGGCTCGCCTCATCCCCGTTTTGCAGGTGAGGAAACTGAGGCGCAAGAGGTCAGGTTGTATGCCGCAGACCACGTCGCCAGTGGCAGAACCAGACGTGAGCGGGAGAGCTGGGCTCACGTCCCCACTGGGGCCTCCTCTATGAGGGGCCAGGCCTTTGACAGGCCTGGTGTGGCCACTGTCCAGGTGGTCCCTGCCACCCGCCTGTGCCCACTCTGGAGAGGAGGAAACCAAGTGCATGAAGGAAGGTCACACGCAGGAAGCCAAACTGCCTGTCCATGCCTCAGTTTACCCATTTTTAAAAAATGAGGGCATGGTATCAGAAGTCAACTCTCCTCCCTTCTTTGGGTTCAAGGTACTAGCCAGGGTGGGCGTAGGGGTGGGGGCAGGGACTCACCCAAAGGAGTAGACGGAGCTGGAGTTGTAGTAAGCACCCAGGCTGGTGCTGGCGATGAGGGCCTTGAGCTAAAAGGAAGGGAAACAATAGCCCCCTCGTGACCCTCTGCAGAAGTCCCTCCAACCTCAAGATGCCCTTTTCCCCTCCAGGCAGCCCTGCCTGACAGGATAGGGGGTCCCGCCCATGGTCACATAGCGGGTGGTGGCCACACTCGGCAACCTCACACTCATCCAGTTCTCCGCCCCCTACAGTCAGGCACTGCCCCTACCCCCCTCCATCAGCTCTGGCCTCCATCAGACCACCATGGCCTCTGTCCCCTCGTCAAATGTCACCCAGCTCTGAGAAGCCCCCTGTGGCTCCTGAGTCCCCTCCTCACCCGTAGCCACCAGCAGGGAGCGCAGCTGGCTGGATTTCCGCCCCCATGTAGCTACAGTGCTGTCAGCAGGAGGGACTGGCCGGTTGGGTGGTTGGGTGGCGTAAAGCACTTGGAACAGCATATGGACCCCACCGCGACCCCACGCGACCCTACAGACAGGCTCTGTCATTAGCGCTGCACTTCTCAGAGGAGGAGAGAGAGCCCTGGGTGGGTCCCCCAGGAGCAGGTCAAGTCAAGGGCGTGAGGCAAGTGGTTTATATGGAAGTGTTCTGGGGAACACCAGTGGGCGGTGGGGAAGAGAGAATGGGAGTGAGCGGGGCACAGCCACCGCAGCGCGGGGAGGGCTGTGGGCCCCTGAGGCACAGCCGCAGGGAACTCTGGGAGACGCGGTGTGGAGAACTGCCCCTGCCAAGTGCCAGGGTCGCTGGGGTGTTTGTCTGCCTGTTCTGTTTCCCATGGCTGAGGGATGCCCCTGGGAATAACTCTTCAGCAGCCCCCCCCACCTCATTGGGCAGGTGTGGCCCTGTGACCTGCAACCTAAGACCTGCAACCAGAGAGTGGAGGTGCTGGCAGCAAGGAGGTGCCCCGCAGTGTCAGTGCAGGGAGCCTTTGCTGAGAGGGGAGGGGATGTAGCTGGGCCCTGACAGCTTCCTTGCACTGCCCTAAAATCCCCAAGGTCATGCTCTTTGCTAGTGGCACAATCAGGATTTAATCCAAGTGCATTTGATGCCAGAGTCCATTAACTCTCCCATCACCCTATACCAGGTCCCCTTCCCTCATGCCTGGAACAGGCCTCTTCTCCCAGCAGTTCTCCAGATGGACTGACCAACTGGCCTGACCCGATGAGGCCCCTCCCTCTCCCTTCTCGCCCCCACGTTCCTTCCCTCCCACCCACCAAGTCCTTCCCTACCATCTCCTGGGCTTTGGCGGTTTCACTGCGGAAGGCACTGGAGTCCCGGTGGGCAAGGTCCTGGGAGAAGTGGCGATTGAGCACGCGGAGGCTGCCTGAGTACACCTGGCTGACAGTCCCCTCTGCCTTGTACCCTGCCCAGGGAGAAACCGGCAGGTTAACCAAGGCACAGCGGGGAGGGCTCCTGTCTCTGCCATGCCTCCTGTCTCCCTCCCCCGATCCCTGAGCTCAGCCTCCAACATCGCGGGCCTCCAAGGCCCCATCATCATCCTTCATCTTTGTCATTGTCAGTATCACCATCCAAAGTCCATTTAGTGACAAACTGGCCCCAAGGTGCCAGGGAGGAGCGAGGCCCACAGATGGATGATGTCCCAAGGGCTCCCAGTCAGAAGCTGATGCAGTGATCAGTCCAGCACTTGGATGACATAAAGGCCAGGAAACCCCGTGGGCCCAGGTCAAGTTCATGGGTTACAACCTCTATTCATCCTTCCACTCACCACGTTGTCTGGGTTGCACCCACTGTGTGGAGGACACTAGTAAACCAAGACCAATGTGCCTCCCCGTGAGGAGCTGACAGTGGTGGGTAAGACAGCTGTTTAGAGCCTTCAAGAGTCTCGAAGTGCTACTGAGGGGACATGACAGAGAAACCAGGCCTAGGCAGGGTGACCCTCTGGCTGATATGGGAAGACTGGAGTGTAAATCGGGAAGAAGAGAGGGAGGGAAGTGCTTTCTGGGCAAAAGGAATAGCATGTGCAAAGGCCCTGAGGCAGAGGGGCCGTGGTAAGAAGAGGGCTAAACCTGCTGGGCTGCAACCATCAGATGGGGCAACGAGAGGCCGCGATATCGGCAGGGAAGGCTTTTGGTCTTTATCAGATGAGTGAAGGATGCCATGAAAGGTTCAAAATCAGGACGCTATCATCAGATTTTTATTTTGAGAAGACTGTTTTGATTGACTTGAAGAGAATAGACCCATAGCCCTGGGTTTATACCTCTATTCATTTATTCATTCACTCAACTAATATTTATGGAGAATCTACTATGTACAAGGACTGGCCCAGAGCATCCGGGAATATCCCAGTATAATAATAAACAAGACAATAAAGAAAATAAACCCCTGCCCTAAAGAGCTTGTAATCTAGCAACAAACATACTACACGACATGTTAGAGGTGTGAGAGGAAACCAGGGCTGGGGGCGGGCTGCAACATGGAGACCAGAGAAGAAGGGGATGGTGTCCTCCACCTGGATGTTAATCTGTAGACAGAGCCATCCAGGCACCAGGACCCACACGTGCAAAGGCCCTGAGGCAGGAGCTTGTCCGCTGTGTCTGAGGAACAGCAAAGAGTGAGTGAGGGGGGAGCAGGAGGAGATGAGGTGGGCGAGGACTTTGGCCTCACCGAGTGAGATGCAAGCCATGGGGATTTTGAAGCAGAGACGTTAGATGATCTAATTTGCTACTGTGTTGAGAACGGGCTGTAAGGAGGCGAGGGCAGAAGCAGGGCAGCCTGCAGGAAGTGGTCCAGGGAAGGGAGATCCAGGCAAGAACAGCCTGGGTAGGAGGCGATGGAGCCTGGGCTAGGCTGTGCGGTGGGCAGGGTGAGAAGTGGTCGGGGCCGAGCTGTATTTTGCAGCTGGAGGTGACCGGGTGTGCTGGCAAACTGAGAAGGGGCACTGCTGGACCCGGCCACTGCGGCGGGGCCTGGAGGGCTGGCTTTAGGATTGGCAGCCACGGTTCACCCTGGGGGCGGGCGGGAGGGCAGAGCATGTGGGTGCAGCTGAGAGGGGCTTCTAGGGGCTTTTCTTCTGACTGGCTCCATTTGCTCATTGAAACAGGTGGCAAAGTGGGTGGGGTGCAGGGGGCTCGAGAAGAAAGCAGGAAACTGTGGCCCAGGAGGGCAGGAGAGGGAAACCAGGGAAGCACAGCTGGGCAGCTTGAGGGGCCAGGGCCCAACCGCCTGGGGAAGCCCATCTCTGCCCCCACTCTCCCGGGCGCCGTTGTGGGTCAGGATGCCACTCTCTTCGGGCTTCTCCTACTGCAGATCAGGAGGTGCATCCCTGACTCGTCCCCTCGCCCAGTGCCCACTTCCTGCAGCACAGCCAGGTGGGGCGGGAAGAATGGCTCAAACACCCCCTGCAGGGCCTCCTCTCCCCTAACCCCTTGGCAGGGCGGAGCTGGCTTCCCCCCGCTGAGGCCTGGAGGCGCTCAGCTCCTGGGTCCTCAGCCCCACAGAGCACGCGCTCTTGGGGGCAGTTTGCAGCTGGAGCAGAACCAGGAGAAGTTCGACTCATCTGCAAAGACAGGCAATTGGCAGGTGAGTTCCTGGCCCTGCAGCCTGGTGCTCTGCGGTTTACCCTGAGGACTAATTATCCCGCAGCCCAGGGTGGCCTCCTGGGCAGCCGCATGCTATTTGGGGCGCTGATGAAATGCACACAGCTTTCCCTCCCTGCCGATGTTTGGCTCTGAGCATAGCTACCATCCACTCTGGGCCATGGCAGGCGGGTTCACGTCCCACCTGCGCTTCCTAACAGTGTCTGCCCGGAGGCTGGTTCCAACTGCCCCCACCTTGACCGCTCTGGAGCTGGGCCTACCCTGGTCTCTGCATGACTGCTCCACAGTGGGTCCCAGTCCCCTTTCTCAGACCTGAAGCTCCACCATGAGACCTAGCCAGAAAGAATACTGTCTAACTTTTGCAGAATGTGTAATGGGACGTCTCTGATCGTTTGTCCCTGCCATGCTCCCCAGCGCCCTCGGCTTCCTCTGTCCTGGCACATTCCACGCTCTATGGGGAGGCGGGTCTATCCTCAGAGCCTGGCACAGAGCTGGTATATAAGAGGTGGTCAGGAATGAATGAATGAATGGATGAATGAGTGAGAGAGTGAGTGAGTGAGTGAGTCTTCTACAGTGTACATGGAGTATTTTCACCAGCACCATCTAACTTGGTTCATCCATTTTTTTCCATTGTCAAGAGTGGGGGAAATGAGATACAGCCTCCATTAGATTTAGAGAAAGATATAGTAGGTGCTGAAGAGTGTTTATTGAATGAATGAAGGAAGGAAGGAATGAAGGGAAAAGTGGACAAATGGACCCAGAACATGGGCCAGTTGCTTCCAGGGGGCTGATTAAAGGCTGTGATACCACAAAGGGAGGCCAAAATTCAGGACCTGGGAGAGGCTCGGGGCCACCTGCTCTGGACACCCCAGACCCCCTTTCACTGTGTGTTGAATTCCTTGTGTGCCGGAGCTGGGGTCTGAAAGCCCTCTGCATGTGTAGACAACTCCCTGGATGCCTGAGTCCTGTGTCCCTCCTCCCCTCATCCCCATTCATGCTTGGCCCTGGGGACTCAGAGGTGATAGAGCTGTGGTCCCCACTTTAGAGGAGCTCCCAAGGGGTGCGCATGTGAACAGAAGCACTAATTGGTGCCAGGGGCCATGGACACCGCTGGGCCTCCTCCTGCAGAGCCAGCTGGCTCAGAGTCCCAGGGGCAGCCCTGGAGGGCTGCAGGCAAGGGGAGGTGATGTTTATACCCCTCTGGCATGTTGGTTCCCTAGAACTGGGTGCTGGGAGAACACGCCTTCCCTAGCTGGTGAGAGGTGGAGGCACTTGGCCTGAGTCCCAGGGCCTGGAACGTAGGTGCAGCAACACCCCGGTCTCACAGGACAAGGAGGGAGACTCAGAGAGAGGAAGTCCTTGCCCACGGTGAGTTGCTAGGCACTGCTGACTCGGAATCCTGGTCTGCTCTGCTGTGCCCCCAAAACCACCCCCAAGTTCTTCCTGGGCAGGCCCACACATTTACCTAGGAAGTACCAGAGCAGGAAGCCCCCTGAAGCCAGCACGACCAGGGCCAGCCACAGAGGCGCCAGGCGGAGGTAGTCCCGGACTTTTCTCTTGGAGTCTTGAGAGACCTTGAACATCCCCTCGGGCTCCGCGTCCTCGCCATCGCCTCCGTCGCCCTGCCCGCCAGCCTCCTGGGGGGCCTCGGCCATGGCCACGGGCATCCTGGCAGGAAACAGACCGCGGCTGAGAATGGCCTGGCATTTGCAAGGGAGCCTTTGCCGAAAGCCAGCAATGCCCAGAAGTAAGACAGCTTGCCTTCTGGGGTAGCAGGATCCTGTACCAGGGAGGGAGCTGTGATTGCCAGCGGGCGCTGGGCCGGCCCGTGGAGCCGAAAGCAAGGCCCAGAGCAGCTCCCAGCCTGGCCATGAGCCCACATCGACCTCTCTGTGCTCAGAAGACAGAGGGAGGTTTCTGGGCCTGAACCCTGCCCCCCAGAGGCCGGACGCGCATAGGGAACTGACACCATGGCGTCCAAACACTTGCCTGCTTCCCTTCGTTCAGGAGGGTGATCTACATTCCTCCTTGTTCTGCAGAGCAGCGCTTCCCAAAATACCAAAGCCCACTTAGTGTTCCCCCAGAAGCCCCCAAGCCAGCGCTGTGCTGGGCCAGGGACCTGCCCGTCAAACAGTGCTGTCCCCTTCGTATCTCCACCAGCCCTGAATTCTTTCAGGGCAGAAGAAGGAGACAAACACTAATATTCATTTAGTGGCTACAAAAGACATTTCACAGGTGTCACCGCATTGAATCCTCTGGTCACCCAGGGACGTGGGGACCAGTGTCCCCATGCATTCTTCTTTCTCAGGTCCACGCTGTGTGGTTTAAGCAGGATAATACATGTACATGTATTACATGCATGTAATAACTCTGTATGTATTATCCTGCTTAAACTGCCAACCACCTTTCAAGGTTCTGCACCCATCGAACAGACGAGGAAACTGAGACCCACAGTGTTTTAGCAATAACTTAGTCCAGGGTTTCCCTGGCCCGGCCTCAATTTCCCAGTGTGACTTGAATATCTAGCACTCACTACCAGTCCCGTTTTACAGATGAAAAAACTGAGGCCCTAAGAGGCTAAAGCCACTCGCCCAAGGTTACACAGCAGGCAAATGGGGAGAGGGAGGAAGGGGACATTGAGGTGTCTGACGCCCTGCTCCCTCGCTACTCATGGATGCTTCCAGTCAATGAGCCTGTTAATTAGCAAATCGTGATTAAGTAATAACTGACTGCTCTCCCTCTCCGGGCCCTGGGTCTGCAGCTCTATCGCCCGACCCTCCCTGCTCCCAAGCCAACCTCTGAGTGTTGTCTGGCTTCTCGGGCAGGCTTTCCCGCAGCACCTACCAGTCCTTCCTCCCGATCCGCCCAGCCACCCGCCCAGCCACCCACAGAGCAAGGGATCTGGACCCCTTTGAAGTTAGTCTCCCACTCTCAAGTCTATAAGTGCCGCTGTGGCTTTGAAATGCATCCCCCATGTGTGGGGGTAGGGCTTCCTTTGGTCTGTGTCTTGGGTTTTCCCAAAATGAGACTCTTCAGTGACGCTCAAAGTCCTCCCCGCCCTTCTCCTGCGTCTCCACTTCCTGCCACTCCTCTCGGCAGTTTCCCAGTCAAGGGTTTCCGGCATCCAGCCCTGAGGACCCTCCTGAGTGGCCCCCACCCAATGCAAGGAAGAGGGGGATTCTCAAGTGGGCATGGGACTCCCTTCACCCCTAACCAGGGGACATCCAGACATAGGGAGCAGGCCCTCTGGCTTTTATGGGGCTTGGCCAAGGATGGGAAATATGCCAAAATGGGCGGAACAGCCCCTGGTGAGAAACCGGCTGCCCCTCGGAGAGCTGAGCGGGGTGTCCAGATCAGGCGGAGCCCCGTGATGCCCCAGGTCCTCATCCTCTCTCAGTCCCAGGCACCTTTCCTCCGCCAGGGGTGGCCACACCTGTTTTACTCTTGACTCTGAATCACCAAGGGCACATTTCGAGATGACCCGCAGCACTATGGGGACTCAGGTGCGCTAGAAATGACAATAGTTGACATTTATTTCAACTGTTTGCAGGGCTTTATACACACTGTCTCAGGTAAGCCTTACACGGATGCTGTGGGGGGTAAGTCCTCTTATTATCTCTGTTTTACATGAGATGAGAAAGTCGAGGCACAGAGAGGCTGAGCAGCTTGGCCAAGGCCACACAGGTGGTTAGCAGCAGAGTCAGGCTGCAAACCCAAACGGCTTGTCTGCAGAATAACCCCCTGACCCTTACGCTTTTCTGCCTCACATGTCACCTGGGTACTGAGGGGGAAACTGAGGCTCAGAGGCAGGTCCAGGTTCGTTAGAAGAGGCAGCAAGAAACGCAGCCCAGGGCAGGGCGCTCAGGAGGCCTCCCCTGTCTCCCCCTTCCCCAGGCCGGTCTGCTCTCTGCGGATTTTGCCTCCCTCATAAATAAACGCCCTTCCTCATCTGCCTGAGAGGACTCTGAACATCACAGAAAAACCCACTTTCAGAAAAGCTGCTATGTAAAAACCCAAGATTAGATACAGCCCCAAGGTGGCGTGAGGGGTGCTGTCCACATGGGCCCCCGCTCACCTCCCGCCTGGACCCCTGGGGCAGCCTTCTGCCCGGGCTCTCCACCTCCATCTCTCCTCTGGCACATCCTCCCCGCTCGCTCTCACCAGGGTGCTGCCCCGCCCACCTCCAGCCAATCACCGCTCAGAACCCTCCGAACCAGCACCACGGCCTGTCCTGGCTGAGCCGCTGTCCGCCCCTCTGCAGCCCCAATTTCCATCACACATATCACTCTGCAGGCCCAGGAGATGCCACCTCTGTGTAGCTACACCCTCTGCCTAAAGGACTGCAGGGACCCTTAAAGGCGACGCCAAGGCCAGCTGCCTGGCCATGGGACCCTGGCCCTGGTAGTAAGCTGCCTCCTGCCCTGGGCAGCCCTCAGTCAGGTTGACAATATGCCTGTCTCTTGGCTCTGTCTCTCTCCCTCACAAGGAAGCAGGCCTGTGTCTCCTTCGGCCCTGGTGCCCTGCAGGACCCAGCACGTGGCCTGCCAGGCGAAAGGATGAGAGCGCAGATCCCCAGGTCTCCAGGCTCCTGGCGCAGGGCTCGCTCCTACGTCTGGCTGCCTCCAGGACGCAGGACTCAGATTATGGCATTGGCCGTGGAGTCCTGCATGCAGTGACTGAGCCAGCCCATTTTTGTCCAGCATGCCTGCTTGCTGCCAGGCTCCATGCCGGAAAGAAGGCGCTCATTGTTGACTATGAGGCCCCATTCTCATGGTCTTGGGCTAACAGCCCAGCAGGAGATGGACCACTATGACAACTGACAGCTGTGACGACGACCACACCGCTCCTGTCTTTAACTGTTACACAGTGGCTCCGCCATTGTTTCAGGGGCCCAGCCTATCAGCAAAATCTGTGACTCTACCTTCTACATTTTCCCAGAACCCAGGTCTCTCTTGGTACCTCCATGGCTCCAGCCATCATCTACGTCAACATCGTCCGTCACCTTGACTCTTGCAATACTAGCCAGTTGCCTGACCACCCTCATGGCAAATCGCTGCACAACTGCCTGGGTGGTCTTTTCACCATGTGCCGCGCTCACAAGCCTTGCATGGCTCCAATTCGCCTAGAATGGAGCCCAAAGCCCTTATCACAGCCACGAGGGCCCACTGTGATTTGGCCCTTGCTCTCTTTCCGTCCTCTCCCCGCATCTGCTGCAGCCCCACCCAGCTCCTTGCCAAACCTTCAACAGATCACACACATGCCCCTTCAGGGCCTTTGCACTTGATGTTCCCACCGCCAGAAGCGCTTTTCCTTTACTCTGTCCCCGGCCTGCTCCTTCACCTCCTTCAAGTCTGGGCTCAAACGTTACCTCTTCCTGCGGCCTTCCCTGACCACACCCCTCTCTCTGTTGCATTTTTCTTCAGAGCACTTCCCAAGACCTAAATTGCAGGAGGTGCTTATGCGTCCTTTGCCTGTCTCCTCCCAGTGTGTTAGCTGCAAGGGAGCCGGGGCTTGATTCTGTTCATTGCCATGCGCCCTGCTCCAACAGCAGAGCTTGGCACTCCATAACTTTGGTTGAATGAATGAATGCTAAGACCCAAGTTTCTTCCCACATCGCTCCAAGGGGCTGTGTGCACATGTGGCCGGACCGACTTTTCCTGCCTCCTCTCCCTACCCTCCATGTCTTCTTTTTCCCATTGTACCTCAGTGACACTGGACTTCGCAGTTATCGATTCTCATCATGAATATGGTAGAGCATAGTGTGCGCGGATTGGTTCTTGAACAGTGAAGGTTCTTGTCACTGCCCAGCTTTTCCACACACCCTTCATTCTGCCTGGGCTGCCCACCTCCTGACCTGGCCAGCTCTTAGATGGCCCCCTCACACCTCAACTCAGCTCTCACCTCCTCCTGGAAGCCCTCCAAGAGTGCCTCAGGAGTAAAAGCAGGGTGCTCAGCCTCTCTGAAGTGTCCTGGGCCATCCCCATCAATGAACAGTTCACCTTGGGGGACAGTCTCTCTGTCCCACTTGCAGTGAGCCCCTGGAAGAAAGGACTGGATATACTCCAATTGCCACAGGGGCCTGAGGTTTGTCCCTGGATCCAAGTACCTGGACCCCACCCTCAAATCTGCTCCTGTTTCTCTCCTGCCCTTCTGACCAATGGAGGGCCCTCGGTCTGCCCACTGGAGGCTGAGTCACCGGAGCTGGGCCGCATCCCCTCCTGCGTGCCAGCCCTGTACTAGAACACCACAAATCTCAGCCTCTGGCAGCCTGGGAGGTTGGCCTTGCTGTTCCTATTCAATGGTTGGGGAAACTGAGGTACAGAGAGATGAAATTACTCACTCAAAATCACCTAGCCAGAGCAGGGCAGAGCAGAAGTGGAGCTCTGATCTGCGACCTTCCAGGGAGGCCATTTGGGCCTAGAGTAGTTCAATGCTCTGAGCTGCTGTGGCTGTGTGTCCCAAAAGATGGGGCGTGGGTGAATGTCCCTTCCATATGCACACAGGTGTACACAGATTCACAGAGCACAAAGAGGTACGCACACACCCATCTACGGCACAGATTCACAGATACATGCTCCTACTGCGTAAACACTTGCAAACACGCCGCATACACACAAGCACACACACACGAACACACACCGGCTCCATTCAACTCCGCGACTGCGAGTTAAGGATCCCCTATTTAATGCAGCGTGGGACTCGGGGCCTGTCTTCCACACCGGACAGCCCAGGCAGGGTCCCCGGGGACGGAGAAGGCAGCACGTCCAGTTCCACAGAGTAAAGGTGGGTGCTCGGCCGGCAAATCTGGCCTCTCCTCTGCCGGTCGCTGCCCCAGAGCCACCAGCCCCTCCTGAACCCAGGCCTCCGGCACCTGGGACTGCTGCCCCCGTGCTGTCCGCGCTCTTGCCCCAGCCCTGCCCTGTCCTGCCCCAGCCCCAGCTCTGGGGGCCCCTCGTCTTCCACTCGCCTGGTCACTTTCTGGCCGATGCGGCCTTGAGACCTGGCCTCAAAGCAGGGTAGACGGCTCAAATTCCAGGGAGCCAGGCCAAGCTCTCAGGGTGGACACTGCCACTGGGTCATTCATAGGCCCCGGTCCCCTATCCTGGACGCCCCGCTTACCTTTGGGAGTGGCAAGTGGGTGCCAGGCCTGCACACAGACCTCACAGCCTCTGTTTTTCCAGGCCAAGGTCTCCCTGCCCCCACCTGGCCAGCTGGGGCTGGATCAATGGCCCAGAGCCATGGCCGGAGTGCCTGGCCCTTGTCCTCTGTGGCCTGTGGCCCCAGGCTCCATGGGCCCACTGCTAGGTTCAGGACCTGCACTGTGACTGCGCTCAGGTAAACAGTCCAGGGGCAGGAGGTAGGCGGTGCCGGCTGGCTGCCCCGCCCCGCCCCGCCCCTCGGGCACCCCAGAGCCTGGCGGGCAGGTGCTGGAGATCTGAGCTGTCCCCCGAGGCCCGTTGCCCAGCGACATTCCTGCCTGGTTACAGCCCCCGTCCCCTAGAGCATGAGGTGGGGGTGGCAAGGATTGGGGGCGATGCTGGGGGGCTTGAACGGTGCGTGCAGGGGCTCACACGGGTCTTCCAACCTGGACAGGTGAGACCAGAGGAGCCAGTGGCCCAAGAAAGAAAAGGAGGCGGGGTCCACGTGGTCCCGGGAAAGGAGAGAAGAGAGTGGAGTAGGGGTGGGGTTTGATGCTATTTTCTGTTTAGCTGGCCATTTTTTAAATCTCATCCTGATTCTATAGAGCTGTGCTGCCATTTGTGGGAGCCACTGGCCCCACGTGGCTCTCGATCACCTGGGACGCAGCCAGTCGGAACTGAGACGTGCTGCACGGTTGAGATGCACACCAGGTTCAAAGATATAGTACCAAGGAAGAATGTGAAGTACTTCAGTAAGGACTACATTGACTACATGTTGCAATGGTAACATATTGGCTCTATTGAGTTAAATAAAACATTATTAAAATTCATCCCACCTGCTTCATTTCATATTCTTCCATTGACTACTAGAACACTGAATTTGAAAGAGTGGCAACAAGTAGAACCTTGAAATTCACAAATATGAATCACATGCTAGTGGGCAAAGCTGGGGTAGAAGGTAGAGGCGGTGGGTGTGGCCCCACATGCTCCAAAGCACATAATTTGGGCACTAGGGTTTTCTGGGTGTGTACAGGCTGCTCAGTGTTTGTCCCAATGAGGAAGCTGCATACCTGCGACCCTGTGTGCTGTGACATGTGGATCCCAGCATGTGTGTGTGCACGTGTGTGAGGTGTGTGCGTGTGTGAGGTGTATGTATGTGCCTGGTATGTCTGGGCTGCATCAGTGTGTGCACAGAGTTTCAGGTAAAGGTAAGGAAGGCGGCCTGTGCAATATCTCACATGCATTGCACACACACATGTGCATGCTCCTGCATGTGCTCTGTAAGGAGCCTTCTGTGTGCAAATGTCAGGGGTACATGGGGTCCACCTGTGTCCCGAGGTGTGTCCGTCTGGGCTGAGCGTTGCATATAAAGGTGTCTGGGCCTGAGCTCTGTGTAGCTGGGCAGTCTGAAAAGCAGATCTTGCACAATCAATGTCCTCTGTACTTGTCACCTGCCCAGTCATCGATCTATCGGCCACAGCCTGGGGGAGGGGCTGGCTTGGGGCGGCAGCAAAAGGGGGAGGGACAGGTGCCATCTCCCCAGGAGCTCAGAGAGCCCAGGGCAGGAGGCGGCCGAACCAGAGAGGGCACTTCCCTCTGTCCTCAGGGTGGCTGTGCGGCCTGGATACCCTTGTCGCCACAGCAGAGGGACATATTCCCACCCAGGTGAGGGATGAGGACCTCACTGTTCTCTAGGAACCTGCATTCCACACTAACGCAGGTCCCCCTTGGTCTCCGGGAAAGCCCCTGCAGGCTTGGCCAGTGAGGCTGGGATGCCAAACCTAGTGCGCCCACCACACGCAGGCGACGAGGATCCAGTGAGGGGCAGGAGAGTGAGAGGATGTGGTCAGAATCTTGGTCCCTCCACCTGTTGGTGACCTGGCAAGACCTGTCACCTCCCTAACCTGCCATCTTGTCGCTGTGGATGGGGATGATAAAACTGGGTTGTTGAAGACCCAGTACGCAGGAGGTCTTTACAAACGGCTCGCTGCCTTTCTTTCATTTAAGGTGCGGATGCAGTTGGGAGTGGGAGGGGGCAGCTGTCCTCCCCACGCTCCACAGCAGCCCCGTGAGGATGGGTGCCCGGTCCCGGCTGACGTTGCGAAGACCACTTACTATGGGCCAGGTGCTGTGCCCAGCGCTTCACGGGTGATTTCATTTATTTCTCACAACAGCCCTTTCATCTAGGCCATTTTTAGCCCTAACGTGCCCAAACCCAGGCCCTGGGAGGATGTGAACTCACAACTCCTGGTTTCTTAATCACACAAACCTGAATTAAGTGCCTACAATGGCCCGTTGAACGGGCCTGGCCATTCAACGTCCCGCTTCCTAACACATCCTAAGACGAACAGACACTCAGAGGGAGGCCTGAGCTCAGCCCTGGGGCCTCCCTCGGGACAGGGGAGGCCTGCCTTCCTGGAAGCACAGAAAAGATGCTTGTAATGTGTTAGACTGTGTTCCCCAAATTCTTAGGTGGAAGTCCTAACCCCCAGTCCCTTTGGAGGTGACCTTATTTGGAAAAGGGGTTGCTGCAGATGTAATGGGTTAAAATGAGGCCATCCTGGAGCGTGGGCCCCTGAACCGGTGACTGATGTCCTTAGAAAAGGGAAATGTGGAGACTGACAGGCGCATAGGGAGGAGGCCACGAGAAGACGAGGGCAGCGAGCAGGCGAGGCTCCTACCCCCCGAGGAACCCCAAAGGTGGCCGGCAAACCACCAGCGAGCAGGAAGAGGCACGGAACAGGCTCTCCCTCACAACGCTCAGGAGGGGCCAGCCCTGCCAACACCTTGATCTTGGACGTCTTGCCTCCAGAACCGTGAGACCATGAACTTCTGCGGCTGAAGCCTCTCAGCTTGTGGTACTTTGTTGTCCAGCAAACTAACACAATGCTGACTAGACCTTCGGGTAAAGGTCATGTCAAGGCCCGTCTGCGTGCTCCACTTCCTCCCAGGGCCTTGCACACGGCAGGCACTCACGACTGTCTGCCAAAGAGGCTGAGGCACAAGACCCCGGCCCCACAGTCCATTGCAGGTGGAGCAGGGACTCCATTCTGTTCTCCTTGCTGGGAGGCTGCGGTAACAAATCGCCGCATCTGGGTGGCTTCAGTGAATGTATTCTCTCACCATTGTGGTGGCCAAAATCAAATGTCAGCAGATCCGTTCTGGGCTCTAGAAAAGCACCCTTCCCAGCCTCTCGCGGCGGCTGGGGTTGCTGGTGGTCCTCCTGCTTCTTGGCCTGCAGAAGTATCACTTCACCTCCGCCTCCACCTCCCAGGCCTGCCCGGGTCTCTGTGCCCAACCTCCCTCTTCTTATACGGACAGGAGTCACCTTGGATCTAGGGCCCTCCCTACCCACCATGACCTCATCTTAATTTGCTTATGTCTGCTGAGACCCCATAAGGTCACAGTCACAGGTTCCAGGTTTGGGGGATACTATTCAACCCAGTATGGGGTGGGGGGTACTATTCCGGGAGACCAGGGTGAGACATCACAGGAGAGCTGCCCCTCCTAGTCAGCCTGTCCTGTGGGTCCGCCAAGCCTCAGAGCTCCAGGAAGCCATTGCTGGGGCCACGGGGGTCAAGGGCAGCCCAGCCCGAAGAAGGGTCATTGCGGGCCACGCCTCTCTCTGAAACCCCCTGGGGAAGTGCAGGGCTCGCAGGCTCAGGAGCTGAGGTGAGGGGCTTAGGGGGCGGGCTCCATGTGCCCCAGTCAGACGCTGTCTAGGCAGGTAGAGTCTGGGAAGACTGGGCCCCTCCAGGCTCCAAGGCCGTGCATTAGTTTCCTAGGACTGTCTTAACAAAGTGCTACCAACAAGGTGGATTACAGGTGTATTGCCCCGGAGTTCCGGAGGCCAGAAGTCCAAGATCAAGGTGTCAGCAGGACTGTGGTCTCTCTAAGGCTGCCAGGGAAGGGTCCTTCCTGCTCCCTCTTCACTGTGGCGTTGGTGGCAATCTTGGGGTTCCTTGGGTTGTGGCAGCTTAGCTTCAGTCCATCCCGGCCTCCACGGTCACCTGGCCAGCACCCTGCGTCTTTCCCAGTGTCTCTTCCTCTCTTCTCCCAGAGACAGTGTCTCACAGAGACCCTGGTCATAGGTCATATTGGATTAGGTTCTGCCCTAGTGACCTCATCTTATCTGCATCTGCAAAGACCCCTATTTCCAAATAAGGCCACATTCATAGGTGGGGTGGGGGCAGTTAGGCCTGGAACATGTCTTTGGGGGGATGCAGTTGATCCCATTACAAGTGGGACAAGGGGTGTGGAGGCGGGCTGGTTATTGCCAATGCCATGGACCGTGACTGCTCTTCCAAAGGGCCATGCGACTGGCCCTGGGTCCTCAAGTCACTTCTGAAGTATGTCACACCTCCTGGAAACCCCTCAGCAAAGATTCAGCCCTTTGACGGTTCAGGTACACTAGGGAGAGTCATGCCTTAAACCTGTAAGCCCTGAGGTTTGGGAAAGACAGACAGTGATGACGAGGAGCAAGGGGTCAGAAAGGGCAAGGAGGTCGGCCCCACCCAAACAGCCTCGCCAAGTCAGCAGGGAGTATCAGAGAGACAAGCCAGCGAGCCAGCGGCTTCCACACCTGCAGCCGAGGCCGCAGCCCTCACCCTGCCCGTCCCACCTCTTTCGAGTACTTTACATACGCTCACATCTTTTATCCTCACAACTGTCTTGGTACTTTCCCTGTCCTGCAGATAAGAAACGTGGGGCACAGAGAGGTGTAGACAGTTGCCCAGGGTCACTGCTGGGAGTCGGCAGAAGCCGGATTTAACCCAGGCCGCTCAGGTCCAGAGTTAGTGCTTCGACCACCACGCCGGCTGCCCTACAGAGACCGCAGGGCCTCAGGGCGGGGCCGGGGGGTTTGTCCACCACAGGGCCCCCAGCACCCAGCCCTGGGGCCTGCACTCACTAGGCCCTCGGTAAATGCCTGTTGAGGGAATGAAGGAATGAATCTCTAAGAAGAACCCCTTCCTCTCCCGAGAGCCAGCCTCAACCAGCTATGTCCTGAACCGTGGAACTGGGCTGAGCCCCTCTGGCTCGAGTCCCGTGTTCCACTCTCCCTTCCAAAGTTAGGAGGCTTCTTCAGAGCCTTCCCAAGCCGGGCACTTCCAATAAAGGCTCTGAGCGATTTTCTTCCGAGAGGCAGGGAGTGGCCGT